GCTAACTCTCACTCACCCATTTCTCACTCTAACTCACTGTCATCTCCTGCTATACCGATTAAACATCACATGATAACAAGACTTCATACAGGTAATCTCAAACCAAGGCAACGCCTGAATCTGCTTCATCACCAGCTTCCGCAAAAGGATCCTGATCCCACATCATTCGCAGCTGCATATAAACAACGAGAATGGAGAAATGCGATGGCTGAAGAGTTCCATGCCTTGCAAAAAAAAGGCACATGGAGTTTAGTTAGACCGCCACCGAATGCATCCATTCTAGGGTGTAAATGGACTTTTTGCAAGAAACTCCATTTTGACGGCACCACTGCAAGATACAAGGCATGTCTAGTGGCGCAAGGGAATCGTCAAGAATATGGTATTGACTACGGGGAAACATTTAGCCTAGTAGCTCGACTTCCTACCATCCGTGTACTCCTGATGATTGCCCTTCACCACAACTGGTCTGTACAACAATTGGACGTGGCAAACACCTTTATTCACGGGCACCTTAATGAGATAGTCTATATGCGACAACCCAAAGGGTTTGAAGAGAACAACCAGCCGGATCATGTTTGTCTACTCCGTAAAGCGATCTACGAACTCAAACATGCGCCAAGACAGTGGTACACCACATTCACAGATCACGTGATCAAGATCGGGTTCAGCTATAGCAAAGCCGATCCTTCATTGCTTACCTATCATAAAGACAACACACAAATGTATCTTCTCATTTACGTGGATGATATCCTAATAACGGGCAATGACAATGATGCAATATCGGATCTCCTATCCCAACTTCAGAGTCGATTCATGCTCAAACACCTAGGCCAAGCAAATCATTTCCTTGGTATCAGAATTAAATCATACATAGATAAGTTCTTTTTATCTCAAAGCTCATACGCACTGTCTATTCTTCAACAATCTAACCTCCTTCGATGTAATCCTGTAGCCAATCCGTCATCCACAATACCTCTCAGCTCACAGCAGGACGACACCGAGCTCTCGGACCCAACGACTTACAGGAGGATCATTGGCTCCCTTCAGTATCTCATGATCACAAGACCCGATCTAGCATACACGGTCAATGCACTCTCCCAACATATGCATCAGCCGTCATATCAACATGCCCACTCTCTCAATAGATTTCTACGCTATATCAAAGGCACCCTTACCTTTGGATTACCGATCTCCAAGGGAAACCTCACACTACAAACATTCTTCGACGCAGACTAGGCATGTGATCTAAACACTAGAAAATCGACTTCAGGCTACTGCACATTCCTTGGAGACACTGTCATATCATGGGCTGTCAAGAAGCAGAACATGGTGGCAAGGTCGTCGACGGAATCCAAATATAGGGCACTGGCTTCAGCCACCGCTGATACCATATGGCTCAAACGGCTGTTAACAGACTTTCAGATCTCCCATCCTCAGCCCATCAATCTCTTCTACGACAATACATCCGCCATAGCCCTTGCTCTCAATTCGGTGTTTCATCCACGAACAAAACACATAGAAATCGATCAACGTTTTGTTCGCAAGCATATTTAAGACAACCACATAAGTCTTCAGCCGATCAGCACAACAGATCAAACCGCGGATATCCTTACCAAACCACTCTCTACCAATCGGTTCAAGATGCTTCGGACCAAGCTTACCGTCTCTGACGATCCGTCCGCTTGAGGGGGGGTATTAGAGCACATAGTTATAAATACATAATTGTAATATGTGTAACAAACTCTAGCATATTTACTTATATACCCTGTACACTGTAAACAATTATATATAAAGCATTCCAGCCCTCTCGGCAAAGGGTGAGCTGAGTATTCTTTTATCTTCCTGAATTACTCTCTTGCAACTCTACAATTACATAATATCTAATTGGATTAATTATTCATAATTCTATTTTATTTCATCCATAATTAACAACACAAAGCCTTCTAATTTTGTTTATACAACAATGAACATACACATATATTGTTGCATCATGGAATATTTGCAGTGGTGGAGAAAAATAAAATTGTGTCCTAGCATTGTACGATGATTCATCACACAATTAGATAAAAGAGAGGGGTGTAGTATTCATAAAACACCAAAAATTTTACATGAAAATCCTTGAAAAGAGGTAAAAACTATGGGGTATGGCCCAGTTGGAATGAATCATTAGTGTTTGCTGTCGATTACAAATGAGACCTTTCCTTGGGGGGAAGGTCTTGGCTTGATGTAACAAATATACATGATATAGAGTATATTATATGGTGGGAGTTGGATGAATAAGTGTTGACTTGTTCGTTGGTAAGCAGGACCATAGTTGGCAAGCGATGTAAGTTGGAAGGACCATAGGTGGGTGACGGTGGTCGAAAGGATCGTAGTCAGGAGACGGTAATCGAAAGGACTATAGCCTGGTGACGGTAGGTCAGAAAGACCGTAGTAGAGCAATGGTGGTTGGAAGGATCATAGTTGGGTGACATGGGTCTGAATGACTGCATTCGGATGACGGTTGGTAGTAGGGCAGAAGTCTGACAATGGCTATTAGTCGAGCATAAATCTGGTGTTATTTGGTGGCTAGGTGGAAGTTCAATGATGATTGATAGAAGGGCGGAGGCCTGATGACGGTTAGTGTCTAGGCTTAAATCTGGCATTAGTTGGTGGCTGGGCGAAAGTCTGTCAACAGCTGGTGGTCGGGCTGAAGTCCGACTACTATCGGTGGCAGGGAGAAAATCTAGCTAAAGTCCAGCGAGGGTTAGTGGACGGGCGGTGGTCGATGAAAAGTTTGGTGACAAGAGAACTATAAATTTTCTTCCATTTCACTCTTATTTTCTCCCCCTTTTTTCCACCCCCTAAATGAAGAATGATGGGTTTATTTATAGTTTTTTGAGTGTTGCATGACCAATAAAATAGAGAAAAGTTCAAGGGTATGTTCGAGTGTTTTGAATAGACAGCCGATATCAACTCCTTTAATTATGGGTGTCAAGAAATTGAGTACCTTAATAATGTCAAAATTCGTTGATCTTGGATTTGTTGGATTTGTCTCGTCTAGCTGCTCAATTCGACTATAAACATATTACATTTGAAAATCGTTTTGGTCATCCTTTTTTTTTTTTTGAACCTTTAAAATGCACTTCATATCTTTGATTTGGACCCATTCAGGATCGTATTGGGTCAAATTTGGTGTTTTTTGGTTCAACTTTTTGAGATGTTCAATTTAACTATAAGTTTGCTGAAATTGGAGTTCAAATGGTCTCAGATTTAATTTTAGAAGTTTACAAGTCAAAATTGCCTAGAGATTCATGCTTGATCAAGATAATTCTTTGATGATATATCAATTGCCCCATATTCCGCCATAATATCCCAACAACCATTAATATACATATTATTGAAAGAATATTAATAAATAGAAACATACCTATAGTATGAACTTTGACATTATCAACTCTTTTCTAATTAGTTGGAGTCTTACCCTTTATTGAAATGACATGCAAATAATGTATGATGGGTAAACACTTGCTTGGTGGGCTATTCGAAACATACAGAAGAATTCAATTTTCAGCATTTAAAATAAATTACACAAGAGCAAAAATATTATTTAAACATGAAGTTAGTACAATTTTAATTTAAGCAATATAGTATTTGTGCAATGTTTTATCATTGATATTATTATTATAATATATATAGTGTCAAGAGTAGTCACCTATCAACACTATGAATATGTCAAGAGCAATAATAGAAAACTTTCTTGAACTTGAATGTGGCAACAACATAAAAACCACTTGAACCTCCACTTGATATCATAACAAAACAGATGATGAAATATAATATGTAACATATAAATCAAAATATGTTTCACATGTGCATAGCACATTTTACATATCACATTTCACACATCACCTTTCACATTTTTTTACTAGGGGTGTCAAAAAGGGTTGATGGGTCGGGTTCGGGTCCGATCTGAGATTGATCTGACCCAAATCTAGGTAACCAGAATCTAACTCATTTAATAAATATGCCAAAAACATCAATCCGAACCCATTTTTTGTTCAATCCATATGTGTCAATATAAAGTCATCAGAACATTGACATTTATAAATAGTATTATAAAAACATCAATATTTTTATAATATGTACATTCAATTTGTATAACTAGTAAGGCATACTACAAAAAAGAAGAAATGCTACGAATTTAGCAGTAGTGAGTTGTCCACCTTTTTTCCCTTTTGCTTCTCAATTTAGACACAAAAATATGGGACTATTTACGCTTTCAATATACCTTTATGAGTGACTAGTAGGTTTTTTAGATGAAATTTGTGCACACATTTTGACAGTTACAATTCACAAAACCATTTATAAAGAACATCCATAGCATTATTTTGAAGTGTTTTATTATAAACATCTATAACATTTTTTAGAAATATCAGCATACTCATGGAAATACTTACAAATAGTCCCTAAGAGAAACCACCTAACAAAATATCATAATTTTTCTTTTAACGTGACCGGATATTCTTAGGAAAAAATTAGTCTCTTGCAACTCAAATTTTATTTTCATACGTAGCTAAAATATTAAATACTTATATCTACAGTCATGAATATTTAAGAAAATTATAATTCATATATAACTATATTGTCTAAATTATATCAAAGCATACGAAATAAAATATATATTTTATTTTAAATAAATTAATATTAATGATATTTTTATGTGATTTATATATTTGAATGATATACAACTAAATATAAAAATTAGAAGTTATTTATATAAATGCAAAAGAATTTTATGGTGCATATACTGATATACATGTAAATTCCCCTTATATTAAATATTAGATAATTTTGAATGAAGAGACTTGATTCATATAAAAAAATAAAATAAATTCCTACTACTATTTTGAATTAATAAAATAATAATATTGAAAATTTAATTTTTTGAAGGATTGCTTCCTTATTTATAATTTAATATTTTTAAATGCTTAATGATTAGTTTTATGCATACAATAAACTTCGCGCTAGTTCAGTTCCGACGCTGGACCGGGAGCCGCGCAAAATAAGGATAAGGGCAAAGCTCTCCTCGCACACAGAGGCCGGCCGCCACGTTCTTCCTCCTATACATCAGCGTTTTCTTCTCCGCATTCGTCTTCATCTGTGTGGCAGCGGCCATGTCCGCAGTTCTATGCACTCCCTCGTGCTCTTCTCCTGCCTTTACGCTGTATTCCTCCTTATCGCGAGCAGCGGCCCCCTTCTTCTCCTTGTATGACAATCCGCCCCACTCGAGACGACAGGTTCTCTACCGGCGCCCTGTTGGTCGGGGGATAGGAGGGGTATTCCAAACAGATCATATGACGTTTTGTCGCTTCTTTACTGCTGTATTTTAATTTGTGACTCATAACCGTGTTAATTGTAGGTAGAGATTCTATCTCAAAAGAGGTTTCCGGATGCGGGGAAGGATAGGAGAGCTTACCTTCCACCTGATGGAGGTCGAGGGGAGGCAGGAAGATCGAGCTCAGCTGCTTTCAAGTCGTTCGAAATTCAAAAGAAGGACAGGGGGTTGGTTTTCGACCTCAAAGAGCAACAGGTAGATTCGGTTTCCCCTTTAGTTACTGAAAATTTATTCGCATTACTACTGAAATCTTATATTTTCCTTTTATTAAAACCAGTGTTCTCTCGCAGCTTGTTAAGATTATTGTATTCATGACAGCAGCACTTTAGTTTTTTTTTTTTTTTTTTTTTTTTTTTTTTTTTTTTTTTTTTGAGCAGTTAAAACCGTAGTTAATGTTGGATATTTTTTAAATATGGTATCGCTGGGTTTATGTTCTTCCAGTTTAGTTGAGCTTTTTTTGGGGGTTGCACTACGTGATCACACATTCTTAATGTGGGCAACATTACGCTGCTATTTCGTGCGTTTATTTAATCATTTTTTCTCTGAAATATGTGAGATGGACTTGATTGTGGATTAGGATTGTCTACGTTTTCAGCACCATGGGCATAGTAACTGACCATCTTTTCAGATGAATATTCTTGGCAGACCATATTAAGCTTCATTTTGATTGCCATGCAAACAATATTGTAGTTTTACGAATGAAGCTGAGTGTAATTTGAAAGAAGCTGTTGCTTTTGACACAGCTCTGGAGCTTCCATAGCACCATTAATTAATGAAACTCCATAGTCATCATCATTACTTCTAACTCTAACTTTTTCATATCTTGAATCAGAAGAGCTTCAGAAGTAAATAGAAGGCTTAACACTCTAAAAGACTTCCTACTAAAAGTGTTTAATACTATATTCATCTTACTAGGTTGATGTTGAATAGTTAAATCATAATCCTTAGCTCAAGCCATATCCTTTGCCTCAAATTCAAATCCTTATGAGTAAATATGCACTTTAAACTCTGATGATTGGTGAGAATCTCACATCCGACTCTATAGAAGTATTGCCTCTAGATCTTCAGAGAAAATATAACAGTAGCAAGCTTAAATTCTTGTGTTAATAACTCCTCTCGTGTGGCTTTAACTACCTAGAAATATATGTTATAACCTATATGTGTTGCATTAGAATACATCCCAATCATTTCAATGAAATATCACTAAATACTTGAAATCTCTTTATGCCTGATGGGATAGTCAAAATTGGAGAAGATGTCAAATAGTTCTTTAATATTAAAAACTTGCCTCATAATCAGACGTCCAAATGAAGGTGACTGATTTCTTAGTTAACCTTGTTTGAGGTGCAAAGATCTAGAAAAATCTCTTCACATATTTCTTGTAATAGTTAGCCATACCTAGAAAATTGCATACTTCAAACTTTTTAGTAGGCATCGAGCAATAAGTAACAACTTGAACCTTCTAAATATCTACAAAAATACATGCATTACTTACCACATGCCCTATAAAGAAGACACTCTGTAGTCAGAATTCATACTAGGAGAATTTTACATACAAATGATGTTGCCTCAGCATCCAGAATAATCCTTAGATGCACTACACGATCCTCTTCAAAAACTGAGTAAATTAGAATATGATCTATAAACATGATCACTAACTGATCTATATATTATGTGAATATCCTATTCATCAGATCCATAAAAATGAGGGTTCATTAGTCACCCCAAAAGACAGGACGAATAACTTGTAATGCCCATATCAAGTACAAAATGTAATCTTCATCACATCTTTCTCTCTCACCTTCACCTTATAATATACAAATCTCAAATCAATATAGGAAATAAAGAAGCTCCCACAAGTTGATCAAATAAACCATTAATTCTTGGCATATGATACTTATTCTTGATAGTGATCTTGTTTAATTCCTTATACTCAATACACATATGGATAGTATCATCCTTTTCTTCATAAATAGAATATGTGCTCCCCAATATTATTATGAAAAGGTTTATTGCTCAATATTTTGTGAGAACTGCATAATGGTTGTTTTTTTTAATGAAAGTCTATAGTCATCATCATTAGTCTTATCCTAACTATTTGATGTTGGTATGATGGCTTCTCATCATTCAATATTTATCTCTGTTGAGCTTTGCATGTTAGGTGTTAAACCTATGCTATACAAATTCTTTTGCACAACTTTATCCATGTAGCTTTGGTCTACCCCTTCTTCGTGTTCTTGCGGCATTAATTTTACCTACCCATTTATGGGTGCTTTCTACTGTGCATAGCTCATACAAAAGTTTGGTTTGATATGAGCTTCCTCAAAATTGTTTTCATGGGAGTTTTAGTTTTTAAAACCAAAATAGAAGAGAATGTAAAAAAATTCATTTGCATGAAAAGAGGCAAATTTTACGTTAGTACCAATTTAATTAAGTGATTCTCAGACTACTTATGTAAATGCTTGAAACTATTTCTTTCTCCTACTTGTCTAGATTGGACGAGCATTGTTGCCATAGGGATGTGTTGAATGCTTCTTTTATTTATCATCATCATTATCATCCAAATATTGCCACTAACATGATGCCATATATGAATTAAGGCAGCAAAGGTTCAACGCAAGGATCTAATTATCTAACAATGTTTAATAAATTTTATGTTTCTATGTGCACATATGAATGGGCAAGAGAACTGTTTCTTACACTGTACTTGTCTACTATATTACTTCTCTTATATGAGTTTACGTGATCGTTGAGCATACATCCTTTTTTGTGTTTTTTTAAGAGAGTGTATGCTGAGAATTTTTGTTATAACTAAATAATACTGGAAATATCTCAATCTAACGACAGTCCTGCCTGGTTCTTTGAGTAATTTCAGTATTCTTATCTTTGCTCGAGTTAACTGTAATTTTAGTTCAGTTTTGACATTACTAAAGAAATTAAGAAATTTCTAAAGATTCATACTAAGAACCATCATGGTTAATCAGGCCAATGACATAGGAGATCTTCAAGATTCCACTTTTCTTAACGCTGTTGTAAAGGTATGCTCCAAGCTTAAGTTTTAATCATTCAACTTAATGTTAACTATAACGCACTGCACAGATCATTAGATGATTTTGCCACTATGCAATGGTTAATCCAATTAATCTCCGTGCAGAAATTTAAGTTAGTTATTTAGTGCTATAGAATGTGGATTTTCAGTTTGTATGCTCTCATGTCTTCACAATTATGTCTCAATGTTTGATGAGGCTAATGCCCTTACCTTTGTAACAGCTGGCTCTTTTTCTAACAGCACTTTCTGTTTGACATTAATGCAATTTCTAAAGAATTTTCAAAATTCTGATTTTATTTGTTTAGGCTCTTTTCTTACAGCTGCCTGTCAAGCGGAAAAGGTTTGGCTGCTTGGTGTTAGAGTCGGCAATTTTGCCAAAAACTCAGAACTCACTCGAAATTCACTCAAGTTTTAAGTTAATTCAAAATTTTAAGTTGAGTTACAAGTTTGTAGCTCAACTCGAGCATTTTTTTAGAGTCGATTTTGAGCTAGATATCACCTATTTTTAAGAATAAAGGTGATGCACAAGATTGTTCGAATTATAAAGGAATTAAGTTGATGTGTAGAGAGTTATGGAGCATAGGTTGCGGTATGACGCTAATGTTTCTCAAAATCAATTTGGATTTCTGACGGGTAGGTCTACTATGGAAGTTATACATTTATTGAGAGGTTTGATGGAGAAGTATAAAGAGAATAAGAAGGATCTACATATGTTATTTATTGATTTAGAGAAAACATATCATAAAGTAGGGGTGTCAATTCGGGTCGGCGGGTCGGGTTCGGGTCGAGCTCGACTTGACCCGGGTGTAAACGGGTCAACCCAAACCCGACCCATTTAGCTAAGTGGGTTAGGAAATTAAACCCGGACCCGACCCGCACGGGTTCCTGGGTTGACCCGACCCGACCCAACCTGCGGACCCGTTTGATTCAAAAACGGGGTGAGATGAAGAGTGTGAGGCCGTGCCGGAGACGCTGGCTGTCTGGAGGTCGGCGGTCGCTGGTCGGTGCGGACTCGAGTACTCGACGTCACCGTCTCAACTGACCCGCGTGAGCAGTGAGTTCGTGACGCGGTGACGGGATGTTGCACACCGAACGCCAGTTGCACGTCGGACGCTAGTTGCACGTGATGTTGCACGCCAAACTGCCAGGCGCCAGCGTGAGCTAGGGGCTGACCGGCTGAGGCGGTGCGACGCCGGTGCGGACAGCGGACTAGGCGTCGTAGCCTCGTAGGCAACTGCCGATTGCGACGAGCTGTTGACGCGGACAACTGTTAGCTGGCCAGGCGACGTGAGTACGTGACTGACGTCCGGTCCAATCCCTCGTTGAGACTTGAGACCCGAACCCTATTTCCCTCCTAGGCTCCCAGTCCCACGCAGCCATGCGGGAAAAGTTAAAAATGAGCGGGTTACCGGGTCAATCCCGGGTCAATTTCGGGTTACCGGGTTGACCCGGACCTAACCCGTTTTTTAAACGGGTCGAATGTTGAGACCCGAGCCCGACCCGTTTCTTAAACAGGTTGACCATAACCCGTATTTTTCGGGTCGGGTTCGGGTCGGGTTATCAGGTCAATAATTGACAACCCTATCATAATGTTTCAAAAGAAGTGCTATGGAGAGTTTTAGAAACAAGGGGGTTAATAATGCTTATATTCATTTCATTAAGGCTATGTATGCAGGAGCTGTTACTTGTGTTTAAACACAAGGTGATTTGACCAAGCTTTTTCCTATTTCTGTTGGATTACATCAAGGATCATCCAATCATCCTTAAGCCCATATCTTTTTGCTTTAGTCATGGATGTTCTCACTAGACATTTGCAAGAGGTTGTACCCTGGTGTATGCTTTTTGCCGATGATATTGTTCTTGTTGATAAGGCTAGAGAGGGAGTTAAAGGTAAACTTGAATTATGGAGTCAACCTTAGAGTCTTAACTCTAAAGACTTTCGTTTGAGTAGATCTAGAATTGAATATATGGAGTGTAATTTTAGTAATAATAGATCTAGTGGGGGGATTGTGACTTTGGGTGATCAAGTCATTAATAAGAGTACATATTTTCGATATTTTGGGTCTATTGTTCAGAGTGATGGTGAAATAGATGGGGATATTATTAGTAAAATTCAAGCTGGATGGTTGAATTAGAGGAATGCATCAGGCTTGTTGTGTGATAGAAAAATCCCCCTTAAACTTAAGGGAAAATTCTATAAGATGCGGGTTGACCTGCAATGCTTTATGGTGCTTTAAGTTAGTTAAGTGCTGCAGAGATGAGGATGCTCAGGTGCATGAGTGGCTTTACTCTTAGAGACAATATACAAAGTGAGCATATACGTGAAAAGGTTGGAGTAGCTCCAGTGGAAGATAAGATTAGAGAGAGTCGCCTTAGATGGTTTGACTACATAAAACTGCCGCCTTCCGATGACCCGGTTAGGAAAGTAGATGTATTATATTTGATTTATGTTAAGAAAGGTAGAGGTAGACCTAAAAAGACTTTAAAATATTAGAAATGACATTTCTTTATTAGATTTAAATGAGAATTTAACTCTTAACAAAACACAATGGCGAAAAAGAATTCATGTAGCCGACCTCAAATTGTGTGATAAAGGCTTGATGTTGTTGTTGTATACATTCTATGAATTTTCTATGCATATTCATATTTTCAACAATGACTATGGTTTATTTCTATTCTCATTTGTATGGGTTGTAGGTTTGAACCTCTCCTAATGTTGCTTCACATTTATTTAATTTTTTATTCAAGCATTATTGATTTGAGTCAAGTTGAACTTATTTCGGGTTGATTCGGAATCAACTCTTTCCAAGTTTTCTAATTAAATCAAAATATATTTCGATTTTGAGTTGACTTGTACTATTCTTTCGAATATGACTCTATGCTTGCCTTAGTTGTGTGAAGTAGGAGAGATGATTGTAGTAAAATTAATCTTTGATCCTTTACTGTGTGCTCATAATGCATTGCAAGAGTGAAGAGGGGAGCAAGAAGAGAAAAGAAAACAAGATCTGGAACTAGAGGTGAAAAGAGGAGAACTGGGAGCAATCATGTTTTTCATAATCAATAATCAAATGATGTCCTAGTACAACTTATGAAACCAATCATTTTGATGAGGGCTCTGAACTTAAGGACTAGAACATAATGAGGAAACATAAACATGGCTAGCATGTCTAATATCATGACTTGGCCCGTATGCTTGGAATAGCAATTTGGGAACAAATGGTTGGACGGTAATTAAACTGATTTCAACAAATGTATAAACAATCCAATAAAATATCTTTCAAAATGATAAAGAACCACTAATTTTTAAACACATACAAATTTAAGTATTCACCAAAGATTTCAAAATAATTGAATTGAAATCAAATACATAGAATTATTAAATACCTTTTCTCACTCACTCCTCTTCTCAGGTATAAAAATCTTATGTGTCAACCATTTAATCTATAGGAGTCTTATTTGAAACATTTCATTTTTAATGGGTTGAGTTTGCACAACAAACTCAGTGCCTAGTCACAATTTTATAGTATGGTTAAAAAAAAAAAACAGCGAACAAAGTGCATGCGAGTCACACAAGTAATAATTGAAGATTTTATTTACAAGAATTTAAATAGGTGTACTTGATAAAATAAAAGTGACGAGGACATCGTCAGCATTTTCGACACGAGTACCATCAGGAGACGCCGGAGATCGACGACCACGATCAGGAGTTTTATTTTGAGTCATTTTATGTAGTAGTTTATTTTATTTTCAGTTTTTTTCCTCTTTTGCCCTTATGGGTATTTGGTCGCTATTGTAGCCCAAGGGACATTTTAGTCTTTTGTTTTCTTTGTCATTTGGAGGCCTATATTCAGATTTCCTGCATTTGCCTCTTAGCCCCCACCATAGCCGTCAAGGAAGTTTCGATAAGACGTTGGATGCTCACTAGTCATCCCATGGACTACCCGCCACCGGCTACCGCTCCAACGGACTACGCTTTTGTGCTCTATTTGTCTCCTAGTGGCATCGCTCGGTTGTTCTCAATCTTCCTCCATTAAAAGTGCCACCAACAAGAGAGTGAGTGAGAGACCCAAGGTGAAAAGTTATATTTGTTAATTGTGGATTATTGTTTCTCCCCATAGCATTACTCTCTAATTTTATGTTGTCAATCTGATATTGTTCCGTTAATCTAGTTATAACCGCATGCCTTACTTAATTTCAACTTGATAATTCTGAAAATCTAACTTGGGTAAGCATTAATTCTATAACTAGCAAAGCTTTAAAATCTTTTATTAAAATCCCCAAGCAGTTCTTGTTCATCGCATGTTGTTTCACATCAAAAAGGCAACATCATTTAATAAAAGATGAAATTTTATAACGTATTTGTCATGCATATCTTTTAATATAACATTCATCTTAGGAGCACTGTCTAAAATTTTCATCCATTAAGGCAATCATTTTCAATTCCTTTTTCTTTTTTCAAGCCTTTTTCATTTTGCATGCACGAGTACATTGTATCTGTAGCCAGTACCATGAAGAGGTGAACTCCTTTCTTTGAAGTGTACATATATTTCCATTCTTTATATTCTTTTTATTTATCATGTCTTATATTTACATTTATGTTTAAACATATGTGCTTCAATAAGATGCTACATAATTATTTTTATCACAATATGATAGTAGTTATGTAAGTATAATAAAAAAAGTCATTTCTTATTTTTTTTATTTAAATTTTCATTATTAACATTATGAATGTGTATACAAAAAGTCTTAATCAATGCATTAAATCATACAAAGAACTGCAATTACTTTAAGATAGAAATGTAAGAACCTACCTTAAGTTCCACTTCCTTTATTTCAATGCATGCAATCAATAAAGTTGATGCAAGCAAAAAGTTTGGGAGGCCCCAAATATTTTGCTAACAAAAGAGACTTTTCCTAGATAACAGAAGATTACAAGAACTCACTAAAACTAGACAAATTAGACAATTTATGACCAAAACAAACTTTAGTATTATAAGAGACGCTTACAACTTTGACTTACAAACAACACATAAACATAAAAATACATCATAATTTTTGGTTTTGACTACTCTTGGGCTTGCTAGCTCATTAATACTTTGAGCTGAAATTTAGCTCATTATGAGTTGTTTTTTAGTTCATTTATTGAAGTAAAAAGTTTAACTCATTTATGTAAGTTTAGTGGAAGCTTATTATGGTGGATATTGGCCCTTTGGTTCCCGTGGCTGGCTGCTTGGCTCCCATGGATGGCTGCTTGGTTCCCGTGGCTTGGCCCTTTGGTTTTCGGGCTGGCTGCTTGGTTCCCGTGGCTTGGCCTTTTGGTTCCTGTGGCTGGCTGCTTGGTTCCCGTGGATGGCTGCTTGGTTCCCGTGGCTTGGCCCTTTGGTTCCCATGGCTGGCTGCTTGGTTCCCGTTGTTGGCTGCTTGGTTCTCGTGACTTTTTTGCTTGGTTCCCGTGGCTTTTCTTCTCTGTTTTGCTGTGTCTGTTTTGCTGTGCCGTATGGGGGCTGCTGTTTGGTGGCTGTTTGGGGGGGGAGAATTCCATGGGATTTTCTCTGTTTTATGTGCAGTTTTCCTGTAGCAGATTTGCTATCTTTTGGCCTTCCGTTTGCAGTCTTTTGGCCTTCCGTTTGCAGTCTTTTGGCCTTCTATTTGGTGTCTTTTAGTCTTCCATATTCCCTAATTTAGGTGGCTGTTTGGCTGCCCTCTTCCTCCTATAAATACAAGGTATTTTGTATGAATAAAAGGATGTTTATGTGCTGATTTTTGGAAAGAAACATGAAGGTTTTTCTTGGATAGCTTGCGAGTGATGTGAAACCAACATGCGCAGGAGCTCATTTAAGAAATTTTAAGAATAGTTGACAATGAATTACCAATTAATAACTTATCGAAATAACAAGCAAGTTCATCAAAGAATCTGAGTTTTCAACTAGCTTAGGCGAGGAAGTACATGTAGATTAGCCAAAACTCTTAGGTAACCAAAGATAGTAGCAATACCAAAAGCTATTTATCAACAATCCGTAACTTAATAAAGAGAGTTTTCACCTTGGGGATGGATCACTCAACTACACTAGGCTTTGCGGAAAAAGGTCTTCAGCACACCCAAAGATGCCACGAGGACGGAAGCAACACCAATGGCCTTGATCCACGGAAAGGTCGGCGGTGGCGGAGATGGCGGGGATGGATGGCCTTGGAGGATCCAATCGTAGTCTTGAAATTGGTCGTCTATGACGTCCACGAGAGTAGGCAAGATGCGATTTAGATAGTCCTCAATAGTGTCGTCAAATCCAAGTCCAACGTCGAAGAACTGCGAACGAGTGATGTGAATGCCACCGTAGATGTCGTACACGAATCCGCTATCAAGCTCAGGATCCGCCATGCGTCATTTACGCGGAGAGGGACAGCGTAGTCTTCTTCTTCTTTGACTTCACAGATCACAAGGAGAAGCAAGATTGGGGGGAGGGGGGACGGCGGGAGCAGGAGGAAGAGGGGAGCCGGCGGTTTCCAAGAGGGATCCAATGGCAATAGGTTTAATCCCAAAACCTGAAATTAATTTCAGGTTTAAGTGGATTTGGAGGGAAATCCAATTGAAATGAATTTCAAATTTCAAATGAATTAAAGGAGGAGTTAATGGGCAATTAGTGGGAGCCCATCCATGATGGCCGGCGGCATAGAGAGAGGAAGGAGGGATTTGGGGAAGGATTTAGGGAGTTTCCAAAGATGGATGATGGATTAGGAAAGTTATCATAAGATTCAATTTAATTGAAATTCAAATTGGGATCATGAATAAAAACTTTCTTTAATAGGATTTTCCAAAATTGGCAAGATTTTGAAATTCAAATTTTGAATTTCAAATGGAGCCAAAATTTTCATCTCATGCTCAACCAAATATGGAATGCATTGTGATGATGGGAATCATCATCAAGATGATGGAGGAATGAAGTGGATGGGGCGGCGGAAAGAGGAAGGGGCTAGACGGGTGGATGTGATGTGGACGGGTGGGGGTGAAGTAGGGAGCTAGTGGACGATGGGCTTGAGGAGAAGGATTAGGAAGAAATCAAGGTGGTGAGCTTGGACGGTGGTGGTGCTATGGAGGCCGGCGGGTGGGAGTGAGGGAAGGGGTGGAGATGACGACAAAAAATAGAAAACCACGAGTCGAGGACTCTTCCAACGACTGGCGGGCCTTGCGATTTGCTCCCCTTGAGCTCTCTTCCTTCTCAAATTCTCATGCAAGAAGAAGTAGAAACATAACAATTTTCATTCCAAATAATCATTCGCTATTACAAGAGAAAAGACCCATATATATAGGTCTCAAGCATACAAGAAGAAATAAAGACTAAATTGCCCTCAGGGCCCCAACATGACTCAACTCAACATAAAGGTACAATAGGAAAACATAAAAATAAAATGCATAAACAACTAGAAATATAAGCTTTGAATCGTGGTCATCGATCTGCGATGCTTCCGGCGATACACATGTTTGAACCTTGGATCGATGTCCTCATCAGCGAGCTATGCCATTTCTTTCTCTTCTTGTCTAGGAAAGCTTGCGAGTTTCTCCTCCATTTAGTCTCGGCTTCTAATCAATTTTTTCTATCCGCAAGTTCCCTTCCACTTGTATCTTTCTTCCCAAGCAAAGGAAATGCAATTTTAGGTTTTTTATGGTTGTCAAGTTTTGTGTGTCGTTTGTAAGTCATGAGTTGTAAGAGTCTTCTCTAATTTTATAAAATGAGTCTTTGTTTCTTGTTTTTGTAGTTTTTTGTGTATTTTCTATTATCTAGAAAGAGTCTCTTTTGTTAGCAAAAATTTGGGGTCCTCTCCCAAATTTTTGCTTGCATCACTGCTGCCTACAGCTAATACCTTGCTATTGACAAATTTACCTTTTTGTGTAAAACATATCTCCTTGTTGCTTTTTATTTTTCCTTATATGGACTGTGGTTTGTGGTTGACCTATTGTAGCTGGGTTTTGGCTGTCCAATTCCTTCTATTTCGGATGTTCTACTATGGTTTAAATTCAGCCTAGATTTGAGACTATCTGTTTCCTAATACAATATGGCTTGGCATTGATATTTACTAGCTGTTTTATTTAGCTTTTTTGGGATTTTGAGAAATTGCCAGTGGTTTAGTTTTGAATATAAATAGGAGGCTTGTATGCATTTAAAAACCAATCTTAATAACATTTTAAATTCTTCTTGATTTTATGTGTGTGCTGTTGAACTTGAATTCATCGGGTATTGTGCAAGTCTTGACAATAATTTTGTGGAAGCTTCTCTTTATGACGGTGAGAGACTTGAATCATCTATTTAGTGAGTTCTATTATTGTTCATTTTCGTGCATGTACTTTGCAATTGATTCTGTGATTTTGATTGAGATTTGAGCAAATCTGTTCTAATATGATTTTATTTTTTGTGGTGTGTATCCTATTATTAATTGGTTTTATTTCGTTGTTAGATTTCTTGTTAAATTTCAAAATTTTGATGATATTTAAATTACTGTTTGTCATGAGTTTTATTTGTTTTCTGATTTGCATCAAAAGAAACTAAACTTTGCTTAAACTAATAGGTGGCGAATTGCGAAAATTGATCTTGTGCATGTTCATATCATCTCATTCTATATTTGCATTAGGAACCCAAATATTTCCTATATCAAATGGTTATTTGTTTGAGGAAAATGGAGAGAAAGAGAGCACGGTTTAGGGTTTTTATGTGTAGTCAATGACTTCAAGAAAGGGAGGAAGAGAGGGAGTTAGAGGACTTAGGTTTAGGATCAAATAAATAAATTTGATTTAGACATGTATAATAAAGAATAGAAGATGCACTAATAAGACTGGTTGTTGAACTTATTCTAAGTTCGTAGGAAGGAGCATATGGAGACCAAAGTCGACCTGGTTAGAAGTCGTCAAAATAGAGTTTCATGAATGAAGTTAGCACCACGACACCCAATAAAAATGAATAGGGAGGGATTAATAAAGCTGACCCAAATAATTGGGATATGGCTATTGATCATGATATTTTAAACGCAAAGAAGCTAGTGGTCGGGAGCTATATATATCCTGTTCCTTTGTTCTTTAGATACACTTATCATTTTAAAGGTAGCATACGCAAATTGCTATAAGTTTGAACCTTTTTCCATTCATTTTATGCTCTGCGTCCTGGAAAATTGGTATGATTTGTAAGTCTTTCATTTCTAAGATATATCTTGGGTTCCATAGTTCTGTTAACTTTGAACTTGCTAGTATGAGTGGATATATACTTTCAGCTTAAGCTGGAATGACCTTCCTACTTTTGATACTAAATTGATGCGCTTTCTTCAGGTTTATTGTACTCATACTGCGCCTGATTATTCACTTCCTTGGCAAAAGCAAAGGCAATATACCAGCACAGGAAGGTTTGTTTTAATTGCCATTACTGGTGTTTTTTTGGTCATTTTCCATTTTAACATGTTTTTAATTACAGCTTTCGTTCCTTTGAACGGCAATATCAGCTTATCCCTCTCCGTCACACCTAGTTTAAAAAATATTATGAAAGGTCTTAACTTGAACTTGCAATGCGAAAACCACAAGTGAATCCTAGCTGTAAAAGCATTTTACTATAAGTCAAGAATACTATATATTTAATGGTGTAAAATGAAAAACCTAAATCAAAATTATTTGCTACATAATATTCTGTGCTAAATAATAATTAATCATCACTATCATTAGTCTTATCCCAACTATTTGTGGTCGGCATTATGAATCCTTTTTCTATTCATTCCTATTGAGTGCTTTATAAAGTATTAAACCTATTCCTTTCAAATATTTGTATAGCCTTATGTATAGCGTTTTTCCTCATATTTTGCTCACACTAGTTTTATCAACTCATCTAACGAGTGCATTTTCTGATTTTCATTGTACATGTCCAAACTACGTTAAGTCTATTTTCAATCACCCTATCTTCAATATATATCATTTTAACCTTTTATCTAACATAATCATTCCTTAATTTTTCATTTTTCGATCTGTCATTCATTCATCTTAACATTCTCATTTTGGTTCACTTAACTTTGATATTAATGAATTTTTTGCATGTCAACATTTTGATCTATGTAACATCACCAACCTAATTATAGTTTTATAAAAATTATCTTTAAGCCTTCGTGACATTTTTTTATGGTACATAACCCATGCTGTACATCTCCATTTTAGCTATCCAGCCTTAGCTTTAGAAGTTATATTATCATCTATATTTTCATTCTTCTATGTATTAGATCAATATATTTAAACCTGTTATGCCTAGGTATTATGCTATGTTCTAATAATGTTGAATTATAATTATTAATATCATACTTATTAAAATTACATATAACATCCTAAAATTGATTGATAATTTTGAACATCGTACCCGCCATAATAAAGCAAAATAATAATAAAAATTCTAATTTCCAAGTACAAAAGTAAGGACAAATATATAAGTTTATAGATCTACTATTGTTGATATTGCTCTTAAGTTGGTGATTTACTTGCTTGGGAAGATAGAATTATAGCAATATGAAAGACTTGGGTCTCCTTTCATGATGGTTTGTTGTCTTACTGTACCGTGCTATGCTATGAACTTATTACTATTATCACAAAAATTGATAATTGTTTTGATGTTCCAAATGGTCATAAAATTATGGATGTATAATATAATACTTACCATATCACTTTTCCATTCCAAATAAAAGTAGAGATGTGTCTATTTTTTGGAAACATACAAGAACAACATCTAGCCTTTATCCCACTATGTGGGGTCGGCTCCATGAATCATTTTTCTCCATTGTGTCTTGTTAAGAGTCAAAACATAAAGCAATAAAATAAATTTCACTCATCAACCTTAATTTCTGAAATAAACTTGGTAACCCCCACATAAGGTCAATAAAGTGCATGCCCTCTTCTATTGCGTTTCTAACATTGCTTGGTGATTTATTACTTATAAATTACCTTCAATGCCTTGAATACTCCTGATACATTTTTAGGCTCAAAGTTTTTTTTTTTCTTAAAATTTTAAATGGATTAAAACTCTATTACATTTCTTGGCCACTTGGGAAATTTCTATGAAATTATAAAAATAAATATTTGTCCAACTTGAAGAGTAGATTAAGCTACTAAAGGTCATGTGCCAGATATGGGACATTAGTGTAAGCTATATGCCTTGAGGTATAAGTAAAAGCCAATTATCGAATGCTTATTAATGCATAATCATCAAGAAGCCCGAGATGTGCATGCATGTAGAATGGGCTAGTATGATAAGCATCATCTGCGTAAAAATTCTCATTTGTGTATCTTGCCATCTTGCCTATTTCACATGATTGTAAGCCCATTTTCCTTACTATTAGTTAACATCTTGCATTGCAAAGATACTTGGAATAGATTTAAAACTTGAGTAGGTGGGGAGTTTAATGACATTCTCATCTAATGGATGTATTTCCAGTTGTCCAACTTATCGATCCCCCATGATTGGGCTATAAATCCCTTTGTTGGCATCTTGCCAACATGCACACAAGTTATTTCTTGCATCTCTTCGATTTAATTATATTTAAATAAGTCCTTTCGCCTATGTTGTGATAGAAGACCTGACCCTGGCAACTCCCTTTATTATTTGGAGTCATAAGCCCTACTTTTGCGTTGTTCATTGAGACAAATACTCCTTTCAGATATAAATGAAGCCCTTCATTTAAATTTTTAAAAAATACTCCTTTCAGATATTGTGTGCCCAATATTGATAATTTTCCTCTAGTTGATAAAATGCGTATCTTGTCCTTTGGGTTAATTCCTTTAGTACTCTTTGCGACTAAAAAAGAGTTACACCCCTCTTGCTGGTAATCATTTTGATGCCTATAAGAGCCATATCTTTGTTGCTGTACTTCAGGATGTTGCGATCACTTTCTCCTATATCTATGGGTAGTGAGATCTCGGTGCATTGTCAGGCATCTTCTCACGCTAGGTCCAATTGACAAAGTGTCACTCGGACTCCTTATGAGAATACTTCTAAACCTCACAGGTACCTTTTACTTGGCTGACCTCTTTGGGCCTAAATGTCCTCCTGTTAGTTTGCTATCTAACCTCATTTTGTTGAATTAAGAACACCATATATAATTCTTTTATTGAGAGTGTTTTCAAATATTATATCTAAAATTCAATAAATTTTGGTTCTGAATTAGAATTTGTTGATCGTCATTATTAAAATCTCTCTCTCTCTCATATATATATATATATATATATATATAGTGAGGGAATAACCTATTAAAATGCTATGAAGCCATTCCAAAATCGATTATAAACTTGCTCCTGCATATTTATGTCTTGGTGGTAACTTGCCTGGTTTTTTTTCTTTGCAGTGATATGCTTGCTTCGAGCTCTTCCACATTCTTACATTGGAAAGATAACTCAATACGTTATTTTTATTTGTAGAATATGTATCGTCAACATGCGATGATTATCTTTGAATTCATAATATTGACCTACAATGATAAAGGATTTGCATTATTTTCACTTTTTGTTAGATGCCCATCCGCTCATTCTGATGAAAAAGGAAATATGAAAAATATTATAATTGCTTTTCTTTAGTTAAAGTTTAAGGCATTAATTTATCTGCTCAAACATTTGATTTCCATATTTTTTTTTCTTGTATTGAATAAAAGCATAAAATGTTAGGAAATTAAATCAAATGTTATTATTATTTTTGAATCAAGATATCAAGATTTGTATTGTTTATGAGGAAGCTAAATTTATGTGGGATAAAATAGCTAGCGATATTAAGAATGTTGTAAAGTATGTGCTTGAAGAATAAAAAAATGCTCCTCATAGTAAAAATAGTTGGTGTTCGAATTAAAATGTGTAGGACAAAATGAGAATAAGAAGTTTATTATTAAAATTGTTTTAGATGTAAAAACTAAGAAAGTTGAGAGGGGTTTATAGGGAGTCTAAGAAAGCAATATGCAATGAAAAAAATTTAGTTTTTAGTGATTTATATAATATATTAGATACTAAGGAGGGCAACATATGAATGTATAAGTTAACCAAGCAAAGATATAGGAAAAATAAGGATTTAGTTCAAATGAAGTGCATTTAGGATGAAGATAAAAAATTATTTTTCTTAGAAATGGATATTCAACATATCCATTTCTAAGAAAAATAATTTTTTTATCTAGTTAAGTGTGGCAGAGATGAGGATGCTCAGGTGGATGAGTGACTTTACCCTTAGAGATAGGATACGAAATGAGCATATACGTGAAAAGGTTGGAGTAGCTCCAGTAGAAGATAAGATTAGAGAAAGTCGCCTTAGATGGTTTGGTCACATAAAATGGCGGCCTTATTATTTTCAATATTATTTTAGACTAAAAAGATGTTAGATGAGTGGAGAATGAGTGTGTTGTTTTTTCAAGAACAAATGTTATGCATATGAGTGTGCGAATTATAGAGGAATGAAGCTAATGCATCATACATTAAAACTATGAGAGATAATTGATCATGGATAATGACATGATAGTAATGTTTCTCCAAATCAATTTGGATTCATGCTGAATAGGTCTACTATGGAAGCTATATTTTTATTGAGAGGTTTGATGGAGAAGTATGGAGAGAATAAGGAGGATATTCATATGATATTTATTTCTTTAGAAAAAAAAACATATGATAAAGTTCCTAGAGAAGTACTTTGGAGAGTTCTAGAAAGGAAAATAGTTAATAATGCTTATATTCAAGCATTAAGGATATGTATGCATGAGCTATTACTTGTGCTCAAAATCAAGGGGGTTTGATAAAATATTTTCCTATTGTAGTTGGTTTAGATCAAGGATCAACTTTAAGCCTATATCTTTGCTTTAGCCATGGATGTTTTGTAAGACATTTGCAAGATGATGTACCTTGATGCACACTTTTTGCTAATGATATTCTTATTGATGAAACTAGAGAGGAAGTTGATGAAAAACTTGAGTTATGGGGGTTAACCTTAGAGTCTAAAAGTTTTCGTTTTAGTAGATCTAAAGCCAAATAGTTGGAGTGTAATTTTAGTAGTAATAGATCTAGAGATGGAATTGTTACATTAGGTGATCAAGTCATTAAAAGGAGTGCTCGTTTTAGATATCTTGGGTCTATTGTTTAAAACGATGGTGGAATAAATGGAGATATTATTAATAGAATTCAAGTTGGATGGTTGAAGGAAGGAATGCATTGAGCCTGTTGTGTGATAAAAAGTACACCTCAAACTTAAGGAAAAATTTTAATAGATGGTTGTGAGACCTGCAATGTTTTATGGCGCAAAATGTTGGCCATTAAAAGAGACTTAAAATTAAGTTTAGTGTTGCAGAGATGAGACTGTTCAGGCGGGTGAGTGACTGTTCTCTAGAGACATAATGTGACATGAGTATATATGTGAAAAGGTTGAAGTAGCTCTAGTGGCAAATAAAATTAGAGAGAGTCTCTTTAGAAGGTTTTGTCACATTAAATGTTGGCTTTCCGATAACCCTTCTTCTAGAGTAGATGTTTTAGATCCATTCTATATCAAGAAAGGTAGAGGTAGACCTAAAAAATTTGGTTAGAAAGTATTAGAATAGACTTTTTTTTATTAGATTTAAATGAGAATTTGACTCTTAATAGGACACAATGGCAAAGAAGGATTTTATGTAGCTGACTTCACATAGTGGATAAAGGCTTGTTGTTGTTGTCGTCGTCGTTGTCTCTATTGAGCAGTTTTTTGAATTTATGCACCGCTTCCAGATTCTTGTCAATGGGATGGCAAGTTTAATTTTGATGGTGCAAAGGCTATTTTATCAGAAAAATCTTTATAAAATTAGGTTAAAGGGTTGGTATTATGAACCCTGCATTCTCCAATGACCTTGAAATTAATGTCAACAATTTTTTATGCCTACTAAGTTTCTGTTATTCTTGCCTTTGTTCAATTGCATACTTCTAAACTTGCTAATTTAAGGTATTTTTGGCATTATCGTTTTCTACTGTTACTGGTATCACTTATCATTGTGCAAGCTGAAATATGAAGTAGCTAGAGAAGCATTTTGTTTGCACGCATTGGAACCTTAGCCTAAATTAAGCTTCAAGTTAATGAACTAAGGAGCTTTAGCGGAATGGTGCAAATGGATGATCCTTATTATTTGTCCATTTTTTGTGACTTTTTTTTTTCGATTGCTATGAATGGTGACATCTTTCTTGTATTTACAGTGCTTTTATGATAGGAAATGGGAAGCTTTTGACAAATGCCCATTGTGTTGAACATGATACCCAGGTGCATATTCATGTGTTTTGATGCTCAAAGATACACTTATAAATTAATATTCATGATGAAAATGTGTTGTACTTGATAAAGTTATATATTTTAGATTCTCTGATTGGTGTTTGATTTAAAAGATCTCTTTTGTGTCAAAGAAAGCACCGATTATTAGTTTTCTACATATTTTAATTAATTGAAATGCTTTTAAAAACTAACCAGTACTTTTATCTTAATTTGAGCCCTGAGAATTTGAATAAAGAAGAGTACCTATTGTGAATGGAATAAACGCTAGTGCAAAGATGTAGAATCCAGGGATACTTTTTATACATATGCAGCTTAAAACTTCAAGGTCATTGTGGAGTAAACTTGAAATAGTGGAACTATGGTATCACAATAAAAATAATATTGGATAAATAGCCAATATAAGAGTAGAAGAACTTCTCTATCTGTTCACAACTTCTTTATTTAGTATGAATTAGAAGAACACCAGTGAAACTGAAGCACGTGTATACTGGTTTTTGTGTCTTACGCTCTCTATGGAGCCAATTCACCAGCGTATGGAGACAAAACAACACACATTTAACTGGTGTTTGATTTTTATGCTCCAATAAAGCCCATACAACACTTGGGGAATGACAGCAATCAATAAGGATTAACAAATATTAAAATTATAAAATTGCATTTAGGCAGATGATATGATATGGATCCAATTGTTTGAAAAATAAAAGGGCTATTTAGAGCTTAACGATAAATTTGTGATGAATGTATGATAAAATAAAGAGGGATATATTAAATGAACAATTGCAGTGACATTTATTGTAGATAAGTAATTGAAAATATACTTGAGGGTTTGGACAGATTTAACAAAGGGTAAAATGCACCCATTAAATGGGTATGTAAAGTTAGTGTTGGAGGATTAAGAAGGAGAATGGCGGACTTAGGTAATTTTGATAGAAATTGTTCAAAATTATTTGTGATAATTTATTTAACTTCTTTGGAAACACTTAGTGGAAATGAGTGAAAACTAAGGATTCATGAAGTCAACCGAAATAGTTGGAAAAATGATGAGCAGAATAAATTTTTGTTATGCAATTTTGATACATTTTATTTGAATTGAACACAACGAAAGTTATTAAAATCTAACACAACAAAAGATATGATCATTATATGAATAGAATTAATAATAAAAAGATGAGCAAGCTATAGTAAGAATTGTCTTTCCTCTAACCAATTAGGTAAGGAATAAGCTCATAAATATGCTTCTAATAATATATATCCATTACTAATCTGCATAAAAATGCAAGATATCAACTAAAAAACACTAAATCTTGATTAATGTGCTCAACAACTATAAACCAAACCAGTAACATGCATGTGCAAATGAATATCAATCAACTCATAAAAGCATTGTCACAAAGTTACACACTTACACTAGTTATTGGATAATCATTAGGTTCATTTAAAACAAAACATTTTTTGTTGCTTAACAAGCAAAGCATCTTAATGATTGAAAAATTTGCCTGGTGATCTAAATTAATATATGGCTTATTAGAAACCATGATGCTCCTACATTGGGAATGGTAAATGAACTCCCACATAACTAAACTCCTATTTACTCTTTCAGCCATGCGGTGCTTCCACCCACTATAATGGAGCTACACCTTAAAAAAATTGTTGGGGACTTACCATAATCACACATGATGTTTGCTAATCCTTGAAGGTGATTAGCATTGGTTTCAACATCTATAACAAGAATCTCATTTATGCTCCTTTTGATATAATTATACTTATGTTATGCTTTTCCATAAAGAGATGAATTAAAATAATCATACTCCCACATAGAAATGTGTTAACCACTGGACCACACCTTACACACGGCTCGTTCCCAAGCAATACAACCGTTCGCCCAACCGTCGCCTCGCTTCTTTTCACAAAATCGCGCGCAGGAGCCCTTTCCGATATTTATTCGAACTCATGTGCACAGAAGTCCTATAACCACTCTCTCCCTCTCGTTTCACTCGACCACACGCAAGAAGCCGTTGGTTCACACTATCTCTGATCTAGAACAATAAAAGAGTTTACTACTGTTGGAGAGGAAGAGGGTTCACTGCAGGCTCAAATGGAGTAGTTTAGAGGGTTGTTTGGGAGGATGTTGCTATGATCTTGGGAAGAGAAGTATTTGGCTTGGGAATTGGAAAAGTTAAAGTGGTTTCTTTGGGAAGAGAGAAAATTAAATGTAGCTTGCTTGGGAAGGGAACTAGTTGGCTTGGAAAAAGGAAATGTTAAAGTGGATGCTTTGGGAAGAGAGGGGATTAAATGTAGCTTGCTTGGGAAGGGAACTAGTTGGCTTGGGAAAAAGGAAATGTTAAAGTGGTTGCTTTGGGAAGAGAGGGGATTAAATGTAGCTTGCTTGGGAAGGGAACTAGTTGGCTTGGAAACGAAAAGTGAAAGTGGTTGCTTTGGGAAGACAGAAGTTAAAGCTGTTTTGAGTTCCCAAAGGTCACAATTAATTGAGACAAATGCTCAATTAATGTGAATTAATTATGAGATTGGGATGCCCAAGGGTCTAGGGCGTTGGGGAGAAGGTGGCGGTTTGGTGGGGTTTTAGGGTGGAGATGGGGAGGAGACTGGCGGTTGGAAGAAGGGGAGGTGGTGGCCGACAGTTGAAAAGGAAAGGGGGTGGGTGGCCGATGGCGGGTAAGAGGTTGGGAGGGAGAGGGTGGGGCTGTTGTTTGGAGAGATAAAGGAGGAGAATATAAAAGAAATAACAAAGATACATACCAAAAACCTTGCCACAGTGACAGTTGTTGGGTAATTCGTTAGCCCTACTCCAAGGGACTTTCTTCACCACTACACTTACTAAGGAAGGAAATTAAAATTGAAATTTTTATATATTCATCTTCATCATCTATTACAATAGCTTAAGACCCTATATATAGGCCACAACATAAGAAAACTCAAAAGGCAAAGTTGTCCCTTGGACAACAACACTCACATAAACCAACCTAGGGGGTAAAACATGAAATAACATAAAATAAGAGCTAAAATTCAGAAATAACTCATACTTTAAGATTTAAATTATAACCGTTGATTTACGACACCTCCTGTGATAGACACGCCAAATCTTCGTACTGATGTCCGCATTAATCTCTCCCTCACTTTCTCTGTGATGATCACAAGACTCCCAGTCGAATAGAGGAATCGAAGACACACCCTCTCTTTGTTTGTTTGCATGACTCTTATTGACCGTCCCATCCTTTGTTCGATCCCGTTCGATCTACCTTAGCCGCATGCGGAAGCCCATCCGACCTTCCCATCTTGACACTCCCTCCCGAACCATCTCATTGACCCATCCAGTCAATCGACCCGATTTCACCTCCAACCTGCAATCTGGCCTCACGCCCGCCTATCCATTCCTAAACCCACGCACGTCCAACCTTCATCTTCGTTTCTGACCGGCCTTGGTCCAGCCGCAAATTGTTGCAACAATCCTCTATTGTTTCGCGCCTGTCACTCACGTGATACAACGTGTTTGCCTGGTTCCCGTCTACTCTAGTTGATGATAGGAACCTGAGTGGCCCATCTCTAGCCTATTTACACATAACCAACTCTAACCATTTGTCTCTGTTTAAGTAATTGAAATAAATATACTGTATAATTAAATAAAATTTATAATGAACAGATAGGTATCGCTGATTTAAAGACATGCATCGTAGTATCTTTAATCCGATTATGAATGTCTAATTTGAAGCCCTTGCACCATCATATCTTTGATCCGGACAGGAACAATGACACATGTCGTCCTAACCTCCATTTGCGGGAAGGGGATGCCGAGAGGTTGCCGGATCTCCAAGAAGATATTCAATAAAAAATAAAAAGAAAAAAATAAAAATAATATATACCGCTAACTTGAAGACCTGCGCCGTTGTATCTTGGATCCAAGCAGGAATGTTTGATTTGAAACTCTCATGCCGTAGTATCTTTGATTTGGATTGGAAGAACAACGACAAGTGCCGTCTCAACCTACCTTTTCGGGCAGGGGATGCCACGAGGTTGCGAAATTTTGAATTACAAGGGACCCTCACACAATTAATTTGTCACTTTTAAATGATTTAAATAAATAAATAAATAAATAATTAATTAATTATGTATTATGTTAATTATTAAAAAAAGAGAATCACATCTAGTAGCTTAAGGAAACGAGTGTAAGCTGGAAGTTAATAAATATGAATGTTTCAAATCACTTAGAAATTCTACATGTTTAATTTTTTTGGGGGTGGCGTCATAATCCTTCTCTTTTGTGGATTACTCTTTCAAGGATTCAAACACTCTTATAATCAAACAAGCTAAATTTGTGAATTACCACCTCTTCTAAGCCAAAGGACAACACTTCCAAATACAGATCCACTCTTCTTAGTCACATATATTGATATATACCCTTCCTTGTATTAGATCTACTATTATGAGCCAAAGGACTACACTTCCAAAGCATGGATCCATTCTTTTAAGCCAAAGGACTAATTCTCCAAAATACATATTCACACTGAACTATATAATATTTGCATATGAAGATGGTCCAAGGATAAGTAAAGAGGAAAAAGTAGTATATTGAGTTTCAATAGATTGGCATTAACCTTTTTCTGGCTACATTCAATATTTTAATTAATTCATATGGTAAGGCTGGAATGTATGAGAAAATGCACAAAGTTTTGAATTTTATGAAGAGAAGGTATTTTTCTTCCAGCATAATTACATTCAATACATTGATTAAATGTTTTGAGAGAGCAGGAAAAGTTGATAAGATAGAGTATTATTTTAAATTAATAAAAAAACTCAACGAATCAAACCAAACTCCATTACTTACCATGCACTTGTTAGTGGATACGTCAAAGCAGAGCTTATAAAGAAAGTTCCTTTTTTCATTAGAGAAATAGAAAACACTGAACTGGTGTTGTCCTGGATACTCCTTTCTTTAACAGTGTAATCAATGCATATGGGCAAGCTATAGATATAGTTGTAATGAAAGAAATGTCCTTGCTCATCAAGGAAAATAAATGTAAGCTTGATTATATCATCCTTGCCATAATGATAAATGCATACAATAGCGTGAGCATGAATGCTGCCCACGAGTTGAAGCATAAGATGCTTAAATTGAAAAGTAAATTCATGGTTAATATAGTGATGATACATAATTATAAAATCTTGACACAGTGAGGGGGATAATGAATGAAAGATAATTACTCTGAAAGGCCAATCATAAAAAGAACTAAGTCGTAGAAACATTTTGAAATTGTCAATCTCAGAAGTCATAAGCAATGCATACTCGCTAAGAGAGCTGGTTCAACATTGTATATTCCTTCCCTTTAAAGGTCTTGGGTCATCATCAGTAAGTTATAAGGGTTTCCATTAAACTGTGGGCCTATGGAAGTAAGTTTTAAACCCATGTTGCTTGATGCAATATTAGATTCTGCATGTGCTCCGATCTTTATCAAGCTCATAAATACAAAATCTGTGAAAGCTTCGCGGATTTGCTAAAAAGTGCTTAAACACTTCAGTGATGATCGTGTTGACAATAAATCTCAATTGGAGGGGAACCCTGCCTTTCAAAATACCCATTCACCCTAATGGAATTATAAATATTTGAAATAACTTTAACGACGCCTTGATGATGGCCACGTTGAATGTAGATCTCAAGCGGAGAGGTCAATCCTCAAAGCCTACTAAAAAAAAAAAAATTAATCAAATTCTAAACAATTAAATGAAAATTTAATCGCCAAAAACTTAAAAATTAAAATCAGTCTATACTTCACAACAGTTTGGCGAGGATGATGACTTAAAGAATAGCTTTAGGTCATAAAAGCAGATGTCTTGTAGATTGTGTTACTACAATTCATTTTCATTTGATTCATTGCTAGCATGTACGTGGCACGTGCCCTTTGACTGGGTGGTTTTGCTGCAAAATGACACCACTATATTACGGTCATGGCCACCCTAATGGTTAAAAGCCCATTGAGTAATGAATTGTATGGTGCACTCTATTAGATATAAATCCGTTTGTTAACTAATATTTACTTAAATTCATTACTTTAGACAAACATACACCCCATGTCTACAAGGTTTTCTTGGACAAAACAACCCATGGCTGCCGACAAGGTTCCTTCTATTTGGTTGGGTCGACTACCTCCTCCAACTAAGTAGATCAGGGATCATAACAACCTGGGATGACAGAACCATGAGATCTTGATTGGCCTGTCATCATTCTCCCATCACCTACTTTAAGTATGTGGTGAGAAATTTCAAATCTTAAACTCAAAAATTTTAAACTAAATTCAAAACCTATACATTAGATAATTATTGAGACCTATTTAACCACCAACTTTAATCAAAAGTTCTATCTCATTGTCGAGAGTGGTAATTAACTGTAGGGGCTGCCCTATTGGAAACCAAATCTCAAATTGTAAAGTTTTAGCAAAATGAGGGCGAAATATATGGGTAGTGTCTTATCTAAAATTCAAAATGCCTTATATAAATTTATCCCATAACATAAACTTGTTTAAACTCTCCCCATCAATAAAAAGAGATATGAAGAGGCCATGACACAAGTTTTTAGAGCCCACAAAATGTGACTTCAATTCATAACTTAGTCATATATTTTTGAAGTCATAGAGAAGGTGACCTTGCAAAATAATTTATTTCTAAGCATAATTTCTTTGTAAAACAAAATTTCTTTAAAAAAGTTAAGCATGAAATAAGTAGAGCCAAATAAAGCCTTAGTCAAATATCCTCATTGCGTAGCAACCATCACATATATGTGCTTAATGTGCCTTGGATTACAACTTTCTAATGGAGTGGATCCATGAAGCACTCCTAACATTCTGAAATAGTGGCACTTCTATTCATCAAATGAAGGCATATCTCATCAAAACAGTTATTGAAGATAAAAAAAATTTTCATCTAATCTCCACCACACCCAACAATTGACAAGCATATAACTAATCCAACAATCTAATAAGCTCAACATCTAAGTTACATCCCATTATGCATATAATATGTAGTGTGCTTACTGTTCATGCATGGTTATGATGTGGTTCTAAGCTATTAATATGAGACATTCATCTTAAACTTGAAGGCTTAAGGTTCGCCTCAAGGCATGCCATAACTTCAATTGTTTTTCCATTGCTATACTGCATATACCATTGGACTATACTATGAATATCTTATTAGCTGAGCTACTTCAGGTATCATTTGAGTAAGGCTTTTGACCACAACATTGACCATGATAGTCTATGGGTCGGTTCTGATGCGATTGACAACAACCCAGCTGCTTAGGACCTCCTTTAGTACCTATGGGAGAAGAGGTTTTTTTTTTTTGTGGGGGGGGGACTCTTTGGGAAGTTGTAAGGGGTGTTTATTAGGGGATTTGGGCTGTTTAGGGGGGGGGGGGGGGGTGTTATGGTGGGCTGTTTGGGGGGGGGGGAGGGGGTGTTATGGAGGGTTAGGTTTTATATTATGTTTTGAATTTCTGCAACAGTTTTTGTGAGTTGTTTGGATTTCTAGAAACTGTGGGATAGATGATTCACCTCTTAAATAGTGAATCAACTTGTATCTTGTCTAACTTTACTTGGAAATTAGTAAAAAAGGCTCTCTTGGTATTTTTTATGGATCTATTTGGAGTAAGTTGTTGTTTTGATCATCAAGTCCTTTTAGTTTCTTGCTCCTCATTTGAATGTTCCAAATTGCTTGTGGTGGCAAGATGGAGAGGGTGGGTTTGGGCAACTCTTGTTATTTGAATGTTCCAAATTTTTAATAATTAAATTCAATTCCGTTCTTCTTTTTACTTTTTGTGGAACATCTATTTCTTAGCCTAGTTGTTTTAAAATATTTATAATTAATTAATTTTTCATAACATCTCAAGGTCTCTACTGTTAGCTAAGGGTTCAATTAATGAAATGGTATGCACATATTTTTTCATAATGCGGAGAAAAGAAGAGAAATAAAATTATTTCCTGGTCTAATAATCCAAATTGATTGATGAGTATGAAGAAAGACGGAGAGATCTGATTTGAGGTGTTCTAATCTGATTTGATCATCAAATCCATCAATTAATGTTCAAATTGCTTGATGGTGGCGAGAGGGTGGGGGTGGGCGGGTTTCCTTATTTGAATGTTCCAAATTATCTTATAATTAATTTCATTTTCATTTTTCCTTTTATTTTTGTGGAACATGTACTTCTCGTCCTAGTTATCTTAAATTATTTAGAACCTTTTTGTTTGTTTGATTTTTTTTTTACAATTTAATTTATTGCCTACAGGTTAAAGTGAAGAGAAGGGGTGATGATACCAAATTTGTTGCCAAGGTACATTCCCATGTTATGAACCATGACATTATAGAGAACCCATTGTTAAGTTATAGATAAATTTTCACGGTGATGTGATGAACTTATTCCTTGAAATGCATGTAATATGATGTTCCAATGTTCATATATAATTTTGTTTTACTTTATTAATATTTTCATGAAGCATATCCAACTTTTTATCAATAGTAAGACATTCAACATGAAAATTATGCTTAAAAAAAAAACAAAAATTGTGCTCTTGTTTCTCTGTAGAGTGCAATTTTTTAGGGTTGTTTTTATAAGGTTATGCGGGGATCTTTAGCAGGGTAGCAAATTTGTATGCATGATCAGACAAGTATGGTCAAGACTTTTTACATTGAGATGTTGAATTCTGTAAAGACAAAATGGGAGGATGCTAAGTATTTGGAGAAATGTGTGAAAATAAGATGATAAAGAATCCTTTGTGCTTGCATGACAAGGGAGAGTAGTCTGTATGTATAAATTATTTTGGCACAAATATTTAAGAACAAATGTGATGTTCAAAATTATGTTAATTATAGAAGAATTAAATTTATAAATAATTCAATGAAGCTATGAGAGAGAGTAGTGGAAAGTAGGTATAAAAAGTTATATTAGTTTAAGAGAGCTAATCTATGCTAAAAAATATCTACTATGAAAATATCGTGTATTAAATGCAATTAATAAAAAGTGTGAAGTGCAAATAAGAGATCTTTTTATGATTTTGATTGATTTTAAGGAGGCATATGAACAAGTATAATAAGAATTTATTTGGTGCGCATTAAAGCAAAAATGTTTGTCAAAGATATGTTAATGTTATTAAAGATATATGCTGGAGCATTGACAAGTACTAAAAATAGTAGTGGAATGTTGTAAAAATTTTCAATAATGCTATGTTTACATCAAAGACCAACATTATATTCATGTCTTTCTATATTGAGAATGCATAGGCATTATTCATAATAAGTTGTCTTGGTGTTACTTTTTGCAGATGATATATTTATAATTAGCGTGACATTCATTGAAATAAGTGAAGAATATAAATAATTACGAAAGTTTTAAGAAGTAGATGACGTGTAATTAGTAGAGCAAAAACTGAGTCTAAAATTTACAATTTTGGTGACTGAGACTAACAATTATCTAATTGTTAGATATTGATGTAAGAATTTACTTTGGGGATGGGATGAATAAATCTATTTGTCATATGTCTAGGGTATATAACAATATATAGTTAACTCGCTCATTTTCTGAAACATGATGAGTGCTTTGCTTGGTGCAACTAGGAGCATTGCCCCTAAAATCCATATGGGGCACGTCTAAACCATGGTGGCAACCTCGTTAAAAATTAAAATGAGGCGTCATACCTTTGTCCTTTCCCAAACACTACCAGTTTTGTACCCTCCTGCATTCGGTTATTATCTCTATTGAAAATTATTGGTTCATATGCTGCAGATACTATAACTTACCTGTGAAAGTGTTTTCATGTTTAGCTTTCTTCTTGATAAAGGGCCAATCAGAAATGCTTAGATTCCTCTTTTTGCGCTTTGTTACTTTACTCCTACATCATGATAGGGTAGTCTTGAAAAAGAACATTTGCTTTTTCAATTACTGCTTATGGTATGTCCCTTGCAATATTTTCCTCTTCTATGGCCATTCTTGGTGGGGTTTTTCATTCCGTAGCCATTAATATTCTTGATCCTGGAACTATAGACCATCATTCTTGTGCTTATCTACTTGTGGTTGTTGTAATTGTTTGCGCCAGTTGAATTTACTAGTTAATGTGTTGAGTTAATAGAATGCATGCAACTCAACTTGCTACTATATATATGAAGGGTTTGAACACAACAACAACAACAACAACAACATCAAGTCTTTATCCCACTACATGGGGTCGGCTACATGAATCCTTTTTCTCCATTTTGTTCTATTAAAAGTCAAATTCTCGTTTAAATCTAATAAAGAAAGGTCATTCCTAATAATGACATTATGAAGGGTTAACTGATGGGGACATCAGATTTCGACACGTGTACCATCGCCGGCGGCGCAGATCGACGGCTACGATCCAGAGCCTCTACTTCTGAGTTATTTACAGCTTATGTCATGTGTACTTCTTTAGTTTTCCTAGTTTGCCCCTGAGGGCATTGTTCCGCTTATGTAGCCGAGAGGGCGTTTATGTCTTTTCATTTTTCGTTATTTTGAGCCTCCTTATATGAGTCATCATGTATTGTAAGAAGTTAGTTTTTGGATGAAATGAAATTTGCTTTTGTTCTTTTTGTGAGTTCATTCCCCCACGATCTCTTAGTGAGTTCGCCGGAGAGAACTAGATCTCTTAGTGAGTTCTAGTTTTCGAATTATCTAATCTTGTGGAAGTTCAAAGTGGAGACAAGCGAGGTGATTAAATCCGTAGTCGTGGAAGCCTTGAAAACTCCCTCTCTTCTTTTCCCCTTGCTCTTGCCGCCGCCCAAATGTCTCCAGAATTTAAGCAATTGTTTTTTAATTGATTTCAAAGCAAGTTTGAAATTCAAACAATTGCCTGATTTCTCCTATCCGTTAAAGGGAGGTTTCCTTTCTAGACATTTAATCTATTTTATTACAAATTTTAATAAAATCTGCCATTTAATTACGTTGGCCCCACTCCACTTAATTCCCTCTTCCTCTTCCTCCTCTTGATTTAATTTGAATCTCAAATTAAATCATCCCCATTAAACCCTCCAAAATCTGAAATTACTTCAGAATTCCTGCACCCCACCATTGGATTCCCCTCCTTGGCCGAACCCCTCTAGCCCACCAAAACCGTGACCTCCTCTCTCCCCAAACTCCCGGCCCACTTTCCCACTCCCCTCTCTTGCTCTCTCTATTCAACCCTATCATGAATGGCGGATCCGGAGCTAGAATGGGGACTTGTGTTTGACGCTCACGGCAACCTCAACATCCAACGATCGCCGTTCTTCGACGTAGGATTTGATTCCGACGACGATACCGTTGGAGCCTACTTGGATCGAATCCTACCGACCCTCATAATCGTCATCGACAAACAACATCCCGACTCCGAGTGGATCATTGATGGCCGCCCACCCGCTCCTCCAAATCCGACTTCTTTCCCGGCGACGAGTCCTCTCAAGATCACTTGTCTATTAGTGGCATCGCTAATTCTACTTATGATTCTCCTCCGCTAGCCACCACTTTCAAAACGAGTGACGGACCTCAAGGTGAATGACCTAGATTTTAAATTTGGGGCTTTGTTATCATTAGCTATTTGTATTACTTAAAAGTTTAGTTGTTATTTTGCAAGTTACCGTAAACTCTACATGTGATCTATTGCCTTTGCTAAAACTCAACATTAAATTCTTAACTCAACCTTGAGCAAGCAAAGATTTATTCATTAGCAAGAAAATTTCATCACTTTCATTAATTTCTCAAGGCAATTCTTGTTCATTGCATGTTGTTTCACATCATTAACACCTTGAAGAAAATTTTCAAAAGCACAGCAATTGCTCAATTAAAGTTTCATATTTAATTCTTTCTACGATATATTGATGTTTCAATTTGTGCTGCATTTAGATGTTTAATAGTGCCTCCTCCAACATAGAAGCTTACTTTTTCATTTAAATCATAAGTAAACATTTCGTATTCTCTCGTTGTGGCTGATCAACAAAATTTTAATTGTTCTAATGCTCTGCATAATGAATTATGGAAGCAGATTTTGCTCAAATTATGTACCAATTTTTAATTATTAATTAAAAAAGCTTTTGTAATTGTTTCTTCTCATAATTTGTCTGATTTTGGTGACATTACTTTGAATAGTACAATTGGCTCTACTTGACTCTAGAATCTTCTTTTGTGCAAGATTCCCGTGTTTCTATAACAATGGCTTAGAGTATTTTGCCAAAAGGATCATTTGTACTGCAATGTGAGGTTTAATATATCTTCGCTAATAGACTTTCTCAGTGATCTGATCAACAGGTTTTGGCTAGAGGTGTTGAGTGTGATATTGCATTGCTCTCAGTGGAGAATGAGGAGTTTTGGAAAGGGGTAGTGCCACTTTGTTTTGGTCGTTTACCTTGTCTGCAGGTATTCTTCAAGCTTATGTGAATCATTTTGTACTCAGTGTTTAATTGTACCAAAATTCAGATCTTTCCAAAACTAGGAAGCTTTTTATGATTTGATTAGCATAAGTGATTATACACTTTTCTGTCATATAAAGCGTTATCAATGAAAGAAAGATGATGAAATGAAGATGCTTATGATTTGATGGCTGGCCACAGCCACATATCAAGTGTTATGTCTATTGTATGATTAGATACCTTTGCTCCAAGTGGTTTGACATTGAGATTGTATTTATTGATATTTTTATTAGAAGTTCATCCTACAACTTTCTCTTAATAACTAAAACTTATATTTCAAGCAACCATATAAAATCCTATTGCTAATGCCAGAGGCAAAAGCTAACCACTCGCAAAAGTATTGCTGTCATATGAAAAAATGTGAATTTGTTATTTATTGTACTCCAAAGTTAGAATGTGTTGACCTCAAATTGTTTTCTACATATCAACTTGATCTAATGCAGCGACACTGGTGGAAGACGAGTGTAATGTTGCAAAGAGCCATCTTAAAATATCTAGCATCTAAAGTGCTCAGTCATTATTTGTTGCACAAAATGGATTGGATCAATGCGTCCAAAATGTTGAAATTGCTTAGAAAAGGTCCCTGATGCCCAAAATGTTGAAAAGACCCTCATTTTGACACAAGCAATCATCTGCATTTCAAGGAAAATGTGCTCTACGCAGATGTCCTTGGTTTTTTTGGTTGGGAGTTTGGCTCCCAACTAAGAGGTCTTAGGTTCGAGTCTCGCATAAAGCTTGCTTGTTTTTACTCTTTTTTTATTGTGGGAAAATTCTTATTGGGTCGCCCGAATTTGGATATTGTTTTCAAATTCATGACATATTTATACTTGGTTGGTAATTTCTTCATTAGGCCTTTTTGACCGTTGTCTTATCATTATAGGAATATCTTTAGAAGCAAATTACACCAATATCTTCTCTCAACAATCCTACTATGTTAGTGGCTACTTATGTGACTGCTTAAATGATATCTTCATTCTGATTCTTCTGGGGAACCACCTATAACTCTTGGGTTGTATTTCTTTGGCTTCATTTACATTATTTCAAAGGCTCTATTTTTGGTAAACCCCTTATAAGTGGATGCAGCTATGACTTGTTCTTCTAGGTTATTTGTGGCTAGAGTTTTAGTTGAATTTGATATTACTACTCCTTTTTAAATGAAGTGGATTAGTTTCTTATTCTGTGGATATTGACAAAAGGTACAATTTGAAGATATCCCTTTCTATTAGTCCTCTTGCAAAATGCTTAGGCTTAATTGTTCTGAATGCTTCAAACCTCATAAAAAGCTAAATAAATCAAAATTCAAGGCTCAAGCGGCACATACAAATGATCATATCTTTCCTTAAGCTTCTGTAGTTGTTGCTCCTCCGTCAAATTTAATTTGCACTGAAATTTTGAGATTAATTTTAGACTTTGCTACGGAACCATAGCCTGCTATACATGCCCTTGCTAGTAGCCCTGTAGATATCCTATAACATCGAACTTGATCCTCTAGATCTCCTACTATAGCAGTCCTCATCTCCTTCCAATTATTAAAGATGTTGAAGTTCATGATTTACAAGAGCCTTATGATTCAAATGGCGGTATTCAAAGTGTTGATGTTACGTTCAATAGCGGGTTTTAAATTTTGTTTGTCAGGCGTGTTAAAAAAGAAACACAAAAATAATTTATCACCACTATGTAGTATACACCAGGCTTTAAACTAGGTTTTCAAATGAGTGTTTTAGTGGTTCTCTTGATTTTCTTATTGATTTTTCATCATTTGTTATCATGTTATATGTATTTTGTGTTGTTTAATATTCTGTTTCACTCGTAATTCATTGCAATTGTCTTTGTTGTACTCATATCATTTATTGCTTATAAAATTATGCTTTAGTTTAAAAAAAAAAATCAATAGCAAATAACACTAGAACAATGTATTATAGGGCAAATGCTCATAGTGTATAATTCAACTCATGCTATTTTAAAATTAATTTAAAATAAAAAAATATGAATAATTTATTAATAGTTCAATAATATAAAAGAGAAAATATCTTTATAAGAGAGATAATATTAATGTCTTATAAACAGAACTTAATATTTCTCTAACATACATGAAAATTGACTCCTATATTTTCATGTTGAATCTTCTAAAGAAGTTTGAACTGAATTAGATATATTTTTATTTATTTTTAGCTAATGAATATAGGGAATTAATCCTTAACAAATAAAAAATCAAAATGTAATATAGGAATCAAATACATAAAAATAGAATAAAAAAGAGCAAAAATAACAACTTGATGGATATAAGAGAGATTGCATAAGTGTCACTGTAAAATAGTGTGCACTATATGCACTATGCATTATAGCACATATAACATGCAATATTTTACTTTCTTGTACTTTGCTATTTGAATGACTCGGGAGATACGCTATGCTACGATGTATCCTATGATGCACCCTATTTTGTGCTATAAAGGTGCATAACAGAATTCATGTCGAACATTGATGCACAACCTCCTCATACTCAATTGACACACATACACTTGTAAGGAATGTTTTTCTATATGGTGTGTAGGGGTATAAGTGAGCCGAGCCGGCTCGAACTCGACTCGTTAACGAGCTCGCGAGCCGAGCTTATCGAGCTTCGAGCTCGAGTCTACAATCGAGCTCGAGCTTTTCAAACGAGCTTGAGCTTTCGAGTCGAGCTCGAGCTTGGTATTTCCTAAACGAGTCGAGCTCGAGCCCACTTATCGAGCTCGAACTCGAGCTCGAGCTTGAGCTCATTAAGGATTTAACGAGCCAGACTTGATAAGACAAATACTCGACTCGTTTACAACCCTAATGGCGTGATCTTAAGATCAGTTGTTGGTGTCACACCCCAGTTTGGCTTACCCTCTAACATTCAAACTGGAGTATAACAGAGAAGGAAATAAATCTATTTTGGTTCTCCTAACAAGTCAACCTATCAACTCCAAACTTCATAATGGGAAGCATATAATATACTTTACTGAACATCGAACATAATTAAAACAAATACAGAGATCTACTAAAATTTTTGAAATTTACTTACATACCAAAAGGTTTATACAACTATGCTTCAGATCTCCTCTAAGATCTCTTTGTACACCAAAACATATTTAAACAAAAAATGAACAGTCACCTCTTTCTCGCCTAGTGCTCTACGGGCTCCTTTCCCTTACCTATAGTAAAACCACTACAAATGAGCTATGACTCAATGGAATATACAAGCAATGCATAAGAATTAATAATAACATTTTAATCATTTAGAAAAGCATACCATTCATGACTAAATAATAATATGGTTAGAGCACCTTTCACATGAATCACAAGAAAATATAACAGTATTTTTCATTTTGCTAATTGTTCAACACCCTTTCTAACATATCATATGATGGCTATAAGCTTTTGCACCCTTTCTGTTTTCCAATTCAAGGCTCAACTTTTAGAATTAAAGCTGTTCTCTCAATTCAGTGTTGGGTCCAAATTCTCAATTTCTAGACTTGAGAGTATAGGCTTACCTCGTCAGGTCTTTCGCTTTTACTTGTGCGAGCTTATTCCCCAACATATGGCTTAAATCAATTTTCTAATAGCAATCTTTTTTTTAGTCCTCATAACATATGCTAGTATACACAATACTTTACGAATAATCATAGTCATGAATAAATTGAAATAAATTGACGAAAATTAAAATAAATGCTATCAACTATAATAGATATGAATAGATATGAATTGCAATTAAAGAAAACATTTATTAATTTTTATAGCATTGTTGGTATCTCATCTCGTTTTCTAGAACAGTTGGGTAAACTGATTCATCTAAAGTATTTTGATTCTTTCTCCTTTTGTATACCACTGCAATTGGACTCTTCTTCATTCCACTCCAAATTCTTCCCTTACCTATATTTTCTAACAAATTTCAATAACCTTTAATCAGCACTATAACAGTCATATAGCAACACTAAATTTTTAGTTTCATTTTTCCTGCCGATTTCAGCTAATCATTGTTTTTAGCTAACAACTATTTTCTGCAAATTAAATATAGCAAACCTTATTTTCAGCACTCGTTTATTGAATTCCAACAACTAACAATCTACAACAACCTTATATCAGAAAATATAGATTCAACCTTGAATTGAATTTCCATACCTGCTTCCAAGTTTCACTTTAATACTTCTTCCCAACAGTTAAAAAAAAAAACATGAATTCGGCAGCAACCTATCTTTGTGTTCCTTCACAATAGATGCAGAGATTTCTGCAAAAAAATGTCTTCCCAATTCAGTAGCCAGTCGCAGAAATTCTCCCAAAAATGATGGCAGTTTTTTTGTAGCAGCAATAGCTGCTCTATGTTCTTAAAAATCAATTAAAAACCAGTAAGAACATGCAGGAATCCTCTTACTCGAGTCCATAAACAGCAGAAAATTTTATGCAAGCAAAAATTTGGGAGAGGACCCCAAATTTTTGCTAACAAAAGAAGACTCTTCCTATAACTTAGAAGATGAACAAAATACTACAAAAAGATATAAAATACTAAAAGACACCTTTTATATCATATAAATACACTTACAAACTTGGACACAAACACTTACAAACTTGGACACAAACACCTTACAATCTTGGACACAACAAACCTAAAGGAGCTTGCCAATCGTTGAGAAGAAAGATACAGGTGAGGTGGCACTTGCGTAGAGAAGAAAGGGATTAGAAGCTAAGACAAAGAATAGGAGTAACTCGCAAGTTGTCCCAAGATAGAGAAGAAGAAGAAGAAGTGGACAAAGCTCTCAAGCTTTTCCAATAAAACCCTCAGATTTTCTTACTCCAAAAATCACATTTTCAACCTTTTTTAAGTCTCAAAACATCTCCTATTTATAGGTACAAAAGGGAAACCAAACAGCCACTTAAAAGTTCATTTAAAACTAATTAACTATGGGGAAGAGGAAGGGAAAAAGGCTGTCCAAATTCTGTCCAAAAATAGCTCCCAAAATTTTGCACACAGCCCCCCAAAATTCTGCACACAGCCCCCCAAAATTCTGCACAGAAAACAGGGAAGAACTCATGGAATTCCCCCCCCCAAATAGCCACCAAACAGCTTTAAATAAACCTATTAGATTTAGGAAAATGAAAGGCCAACAGTCAAATGCATCAGCCCCCAAACGGTACAACAAAACAGAGAAGAAAAGCCACGGGAACCAAGCAACAGCCGCGAAAACCAAGCAGCAGCCGCGGGAACCAAACAACAACCACGGGAACCAAGTAGCAACCACGGGAACCAAGCAGAAAATCCACGGAACAAAGCAGCCAGCCGCAGAACCAAGCAGTCAGCCGCAGAAACTAAAGGGGCAAGGCACAGGAAACCCAACAGCTATCCACGGGAACCAAAGGGCCAAGAACGGGAAAACCAGCAGCCATCCACGGGAACCAAAGGGCCAAAATCCACCATAATGAGCTTCCACTAAACTTACATAAATTAGCTAAACTTCAGCACATTATGAGCTAACCAAGAGCTCAAAATTAATGAGCTAGGAATTGCAATAAATCCCCCAATCATTGAGCTAAACTTTAGCTCAAACATTTATGAGCTAGAATTAATTAAAATTCCAGCATTTTGAGCTCAATAACAAGCAACCAAGGCTTACCCGAGAACGCCAGAAGCCCAAGGGTCAAAACAAATTCTCATCTTGTTTTGAACCCCCCCTGCCTACATCAAAATTTTCTTCAGCACTCCAAATTTCAGAATCCCTCTCAATATCATTTCTCTGTTTCTCCAATACTAGCCGTATTTGCTCTGTTCGAACTCCAGAGAAAAAACTGACAGTTGAGAGAAGGAAATGGCTCATACTAGCTAATGCTTTTAACTGATAATATATTATTATAATCTACTGCATTCCCACTATTCCATTTCTCCAAATCATTCACAGTCGTGGGATTTAATCAAGCCATTGCATGCTTGGCTAAGTGGGAAGCTACAGGAAACATAATATAAGAAATTGAAATGATGAAATGAAAGGACGGTTACAGGAATATAATATTAAGTTAATAGTTAATTAACTCACTTTAATTAAATGTTATTCATTAACTCATTATGCATTTACCTATACTTCTATATGTCAACCTGTACGAAATTAAAAGTAGAATTTATTGAAAATAAGCTAACATTTAGAGAAAGTTGAAGCTTACATTATTTTGAATATTTTGAGAGTATTACAAATTACCCCTCCTTTTTGAACTTTCGTCCTCGAAATTCCGTAGCTTAGCGGTCATGAAACAATAGAGGGAATTTCATTTTAATGTCTTCTTCCTTCTCCCAGGTTGCCTCTTTTTCAGGTCTATATTTCCATTTCACTTTAACATAAGGAATTTGACGATTTCTGAGCAGTTTAATGTCAAAATCTAATATTCTTTCTGGTTCTTTAGCATAAGTCAGATTCTCCTGTAGCTCAATTTTATCATGTGAGATGCGTTGATGGGCATCTATAATCCATTTCCTTAGCAATGAAACCTGAAAAATATTATGCATATCTAACATGTCAGCTTGAAGAGCAAGTTTATAAGCAACTTTTTCAATTCTTTCAACAATTTCAAAAGGTCCAATAAACCTAGGACTCAATTTGTCTCCCTTACCAAATCTAGCTGTACCCTTCATAGGTTTAACCTTTAAGAATACAAAGTCACCCACTTCAAACTCTACTGCTCTGTGCTTGGGGTCATAATACTTTTGCTGGCGGTCCTGAGGAGCTTTTAATCTGTCTCTAATTAATCTGATTTTTCTGTTTCTCCAAAATTTGATCTATTAAGCTGCAAACTTGGGCTTCCCTTACAATTGGGGTTACTAGTCTCGTTCATTGGGCTTATTTACTATCATAGTTGCTTCACCAAATTATTGTAACTTGACACATATGGGGTTGCCTTGCCTACATGCAGTGTCATTAGGCCCACTTTGGGCCTTTCTTAAAATACCAAGGTTGTTAGATCCATTATGGGCTTCTCCAACCTATAAATTTCATATTTGGATTTCCTCTATCTCAGAGTTGTATGTCTCATCTAACAGGCCTTACTACCTTTAGAGTAGTATGCTCCAGCCTTAAGTTTAATCAAAGACCATCAATATATCAGAATTGACATAATATTACAAATATTATGACATTGACGTGCGGCAATCAGTCATCAATCTTCGGGCAGTTTAATTTTGCAAGTCTCAACATTTTAAATCAAAGTGGGCATTCTTCAACCCATAGCATGTTAGCCCACCTTTTCAAAATTAACACAAATGTATGCTATAAGTTCCTTGATTAGGTCCTATATACACTCTAAGATTCCCTTCTTAAGTTAGTGTACTAGGTGTACTTGACATTTAATCTGAGCTGATTGCATTCCAATGTCATACCATTAATATCTCTTTAAAGCGAGGCAAATTTGAGCTTAGCTCAAGCCTATGCTCAAGGCAACCCATGGATATAGTACATTGTCCTTTAGTATGCAATTTAATTACCTAAGAAGTTATGGATCAACCTTTAAGCATAGCTATCAAGTCGGATATATGATATAAATATCAACATCATATGAAAGAATGACTTCATAACATAAATCTTAGTTGTTATCTATTTGTCATCCTTGTCCTCTTAGGCTATCAAAAAAGTAGCAACTCATGGCTATTAATCTAGATGATATGGCTCTAAACTATATTTGTTATTAATAAACTGGGTTAACCAGACTGATCTAAAAAAATTAAACTATTGGATTTTGCTTGGGTTGATCATCAGTTCTCAACTATCTCCTTTTTTATTATTGACGTTTTATTTTATCCTTAGAGCATAATTCGTGTTCCTTAGTCTTTAGTGTTTTTTGCATCATGTCAGAGATGTAATTAACCCATCTGAGCTTGTGTCCATGAGACACCTCAATTCCTAAGAACAAAAATAAACTTGGGTTGATTCTATTGATTGGCTAGGGGATATCTCTGCGATCATTATCAATGTCACATTATTAACTTAATAATATAATTTTTAAATCTCAAGCTGCTGCTTCCTAGCCTGTGAAAGAGTGAAAGGTAACACAAGCACTCAAGCTTTCTAGAGCCCACAAATGAAACACAGAATTAGCTTAGTTTCTAGTTGAATATATATTTTTTTCCAATGAAAAAAGGATCAAAATGGTCCCTCAACTCTTTATGAGAGATCAAAATGATCCCAACCCTTTTGAGGGACCAATTTGATCCCTCAACTCTTTAAAATGAGACATTTTGGTCATAATATCCAATGTTTGAGTTAATGGTGTTAAATGTAAAGGTATTTTGGTTATTTTTTAATTAAATATTTATTAAATGTAATTTCAAATGAATATAATTTTTCTGAAATTTTTTATTAAACGTTTCTTTAATAAAAAAATTAATAATAATTTTAGTTTTAATTTCATTTTTTTTTCCATATTTTATAAAAATATTAAAGGATTATTGGTAAAAATGTATGGCTAAGTTCAAAATAACATCTATTTGCATCTGATTTTGCTAAATCGATAAATATCATATTTTATAAAATATGACTAAAATTTTTGAAATTATTATTAGTTTTTTTATTAAAGAAATGCTTAATAACTTTTTTAAAAATTATAATTACTTGAAAATTATATTTAATAAATGTTTAATTAAAAAGGATCAACATACTCTTACATATGAATTGTTGGCACCAGTCCAACATTTTGTCTCTGTGGACCGAGGAAAACAGGGGCTCCCCGGGAAGAGGGTTGTATCATGAGAGAAGCAAGGAGGTCACTGCTTCAAATATACTACATGGATTCTGGCAATGCAATGGAGTTGGACCCTCATGTCGATCCGAATGAATCAATACCATTAACTCCAACATTGGATGTTAGGGTAAAAAAATCTCATTTTAAAGAGTTGAGGGATCAAATTGGTCCCTCAAAAGAGTTGAGGAACCATTTTGATCCTTTATCTTTTTTTCAATTGTAACTTTTCCTTTAACAGGATTGGTGTTTGGTTAGTTTGTAAGCCAATGACATAATCTTTGTATTACATACTGTGAAGTCTTCTCTCATAAAGCTTCATTTGATTATTTTGCAGGATGCAGTGACTGTTGTAGGATACCCACTTGGCGGAGATACTATATCTGTAACAAAGGGGGTGGTATCACGTATCGAGGTTGGATATTTGTTCCGATAAAATGGCATGAAGTTCTAGCTTTATTCATGAGTAATATTTAGCTGATTTACATTTGACTTAATGCAATTTTTTTATAATTATTATTAGCATATTGTTTAAGTTGCTAATCTTGCACTTATTGTTTTCCTTTGAATTGTATTTGTATACTAAATGTCGTTATATGCCAATTAAACGTACGTAGTGCCTGAAAGTTATCAAAAGATATCATACTTTTGGAAGCCTTGATTCTGGTTTTAGTTTTTTCTAGGAAGCTAATGAAAACCTGAGATTAGATGCCAAAAAAAATACTAATTGGAAATGAAAAACATTTTAGAACTTCATTTGCAGTAATTCAATTTGACATATGTTAAAATCATTGTTGAATTGTGAAATTTAAGCAATTAATATTTAACTTAGAAAATAGTGCAAGATAATTATGAAATCCAAAGAAAATTATGATGGTGCAGAGCTACCTTGGAGAACAAAAATTCACTCTTAGATATATGTTTGCCATGTTCTTATGATTGTCTAAATGAATGGAGCAGACACTTGCATATCACAAATTGAGGTATAGTCAGAAACTGCATTTAAGTGAGACTCCTACCTTATCAATCAAGATTTTGGGCTTGATTTTTAATAGTTATAACATTTCAAATATTTTTAAATTGATTTCACCATCATTATCTATGTTAAATGCAGGTGATGGGAACATTTGATTCATCCTTTAGCTTATAGTGAACATGTGCACTAGTTTTATTTTTGCAAGCGAGATCTAACTGCTACATTTGATGCATTGGCACTTCATATTAGAGGAATGCAGTGTTTGAAAGGTGTAGGACCTGACACGTGTTGAATGTGTTTATCATATGTAATTAAAAAAATAGAAATAAAAAATTGGAGACGTGTGTCCTAAAAATTTAATTAAAGTTTTATTTAAAAACCCATTTTTTATTTTTCATTCCCTCTTCAATATTTTACATGCAAATTTTCTTGCCCGGCATTTTTCTTTCTTGCACGCTTGGCTATGGTTTGGGTCGATATGGCCAGATCTATGAATCCAGCTGTTAGCTTTAAAAGCTAAACTCTCACATGCTCGTCTCCTAGCTTCCTCTCTCCTCTCAACACCAAAGCTCGACTCCAAAGTTCGATGACTGACATTATTTCCCCTCTTGGCGCCAAAGTTGACCCCAAAGCCTAATGAGGCAACGACTAACATTCTCTGCTCTCAATGCTAAAGCTTCAAGTTCTCCAAATAAATACTAAATAATCAAAGGAAATTGAGATGAATCATTCAAATAAATAATCTTTAAATATAAATTTATAAGTTTATTATAGAATGAAACATCATTAATAACATAATCTCCAAATAATATACAAGTTCAATTTTATCGCCTTTCATTTGTTTAAGTTTTGCTATTTAATATTTTATGTGTATTGCAAAATATGCAATAATAAATAATGAGTACTACTATAACTCTATATATTTAATCTATTATTTACTTTAATTTTTATGCATTATTTTTTAAAATTTTAATGCAACAGAACACTACACATCAAAATACAAATATAAATTCATATGCTTTCACATGAATGCATGAATTCATATGAACTGCGTGAGGACTGAAGAGGTTATGGTTCATGAAATTATTGTAGATACTTGCACGTTAGTTCTTTTTAATATACGTACTTGAATACCATAAAATTTGAGAATTATTTATCTTACTATTTGGATTATGGACCTTGGTGCTATGTTTATTTACTTAGTACTTGGTTACTTCCTTGTGAAAGTGCATGTCATTCTTGGTCTTAATTTTATTTGAATAGGTTATGATAGAAAACACTATTTTGATTTGTGTTGAAAACACTTTGAAAATCCCTACAGCAACAACAAGAGTTACATCGAACCTTTATCCCACTGTGGAAATTGGGATCAGCTAAAATAGTGTACACAAAACACTTTACCATAAAAAACGCTTAATATATAAAACACAATTGTACACAAACTAGTTTAGGTTTGAGAGGTAGAGGTGATTTTATTTTATACATCATGACACAATATATCATTATAAAGGAAGTAATACATGTTTGAAAAACTGGAAATAAAACCAAGTTTTATTAGAAAATGTTTGTAGAGAGAGAAATATAAACAAGTAGCACCCTTCTTCCTCCTTCTGAAGGGTATATATATATATAAGTGGAAAGTATTACATTTTCACAGCTGTTATTTTTGTTTCTTCAAGGTTCAGCAATGTAACAGCCAAATGATAGTCAAGACTCAAGACCTTTCATCTTAATCTACACAATAAAAGATCATATGGTTTAGCCATCATGCCTTTAAAATTAGCATGTTAGTGGATAATCCAGATAAATGGAGGATGATTTGTTGGTTTCTTTTTTTTTTGAAGTTTTGATATCTAGTAGGAGACTAGGAGCATGTAATTTAGAAAAATTAATATCTTTGAGTACAATATTAATAAGCTAGTATTTTTCGTTAAAAGTGATATTCTTATGTTGTAGACAAGCATAAATAATCTTGATAATTATGTTGATATATCTAACCATTAGAAAATTATTATTGTCAAAAATTGACCTTTTAAATGAGAGGATGTAACTCTACCCACTATCCTTATGCACACAAGTACCTTATAATAATGACTTCGGTTAAATTGATGGAAAAAAAATTGGATCTCCTGTACATGATATTTTGATCAGGGGAATCCAAGTGAAATAACATTGTACATTTGGGCAAACATCAACATTAAGGCGCTATTCGGATTGAAGGAAAGTGGAAGAAATGAAGTGTAGTTCTAAGAAATTATGGATTTATTTTGAATCTGCAACCATTGATTTAAGCTTCTCAACCCTTTGTTTTTCTTTACGCAAATTCCTATCATCCAAACACAGCTTGACAAAAACTTGAATGGTTCAAAGGTGATGATGCCTCCTTGCTAGTGAGACCCCTTTGTTAAAATCAACTCTATTTTTTCCTCCCTAATATAAAGTTAGGCATATACATAATTTTTTGAGTAGTTTTGATATATAGTAAGAATGTCTCACTATCCTTGCTATTTATTAGTGAGGCTTTGAATCATAAAATTTTAGCTCCTATACAATTTTGGATGGTGATGATGAATTTGAGATGCTTGATTGGCAGAAATGGATTTTGCATTTTATATTGCCATGATTATTTATGCATACATATGCAAATATTTTCAAATGAAGTATGTGTGCATATATACATTTAAATATCTACTTATATATGATGTGAAACATAAAGCAGTTGCAGGAATTGCGTGGAAATTATAAAAAGTTTTTAAGTTTGTTAATTAAAATTTAATGTTTCACAAGAATAGATTCTAGAATTTCTCAGTTAAAGATCTTATATAGCATGCAGTTACAATATAGAGTAGGGAGAAATTAAAATAAGATTGAAAATATGAATTGCTTAATTTGCCAATCACAAGAATCCGCCGATTAACAATAAGATTGAGAGCCTTGAGTATCCCTCACTCAAACTCTTGAGTATTTTCAGCGGAAGAATAATTTATATAATATTAACGATGCCACCACAAGACAGTAGGCACTTATAGTCAAGAGTAGGGAGAAATTAAAATAAGATTGAAAATATGAATTGCTTAATTTGCCAATCACAAGAATCCGCCGATTAACAATTAGATTGATAGCCTTGAGTTTCCCTCACTCAAACTCTTGAGTATTTTCAGCGGAAGAATAATTTATATAATATTAACGATGCCACCACAAGACAGTAGGCACTTATAGTCATTGTGGACCTCCGAAGGAGCACCGCTCGTGGGGTACGAACGCAGAGGGTACGGCCGCACTATCCCTGTGGAGCTGAGCCACGGATTATATGAGTACTTCATATTTTATGCTTTTTTATGTTTTATATTATTCACTCCTTAGTATATAATAAATTTATCATTTTATGTTTACGCAATCTTTTGATTTTGAGGCTTACGCCTCAAAACGCCTTGAGGCTTACGCCTCGCCTCACGAATGAAAAACGCCTCAATACCCGAATACGCAATTTTAAACATTGTCCATGGAGAGTGAAAGTTCTTCCAATTCTGAGAGGGGCCTAGGGTGGTCGTCGGCTTGTATGGAGAAAGAGGAGAGGAGGGATTCAAGAGTGGCGATGAGAATTAAATTCCATAATTATTCCTGAGCGAAGTAATTAATTAGTGGAGTTAATGAGAGGAGAGAGAGGAGAGAATTCAAATTTGAGCTCCCAAAAAGAGAGGGAGGGAGGGGCGGCCGGTCCTTATAATGGGGATTTTGATTGGGGTTCAATTAGGAATGGGCTATAAGTAGGAGAGAGAGAGGGGGCGGCCCAATGATGGGGCTTGATTTGGGTGAATTGATTGACTTCGATAATTTTGACTTTAAATTAGGAAAGGATTTAAGGGTCTTTCCAAATTTAAAATACAAATTAAAGTAACGGAGGGACATATGATCGGACAATTATTGAAGTTTATGTTCACTAACATTAATAACCACTAACTTTTTCTAATATTTATTAGAAGAGCCACTAAAACTCAAAATATATTTTAAAGAAAAATTCTATAACTGTTTCAAATAAATACCTTTCTCTTAGGGCGTTGCATTTATGGTGCACATTTTCTCTTATTCTACTCATTTAAATTTTTTAAGATGATAATTGTGTACTTTTGTTCAATGATATGGTGAGTTATAACTTATAGCACAACTCAGTGAGCATATTATTTACGGTAACATAATAAGACTTTGGAATAATATGCAGGTTTGGTTTCATACATAAATTAAAATGATTCTATTAAAATTAATTTTTTACATTGCCATAGATCTTATGCTATGCTTAACTAGTACTCATATCATGGTTTATCATTTTCCATAACTAATACATCCATCACAAGAAATACTATTTAAATAATCTCAATTATGGTACTTTTATTTTCATTTCTTTTTTTAAAACCTTATCCAATTCATGCATAGGATACATTACATCTGCAGCCAATACCATAAGGGTGTACTCCATCATTCAATAATGCTCATGCAAGTATTTTTTTGCATAAATCATTTTTTTTACATTCTCTATATTAGTTCATAGTATTTTATAGTAAGCATTATATGACACGATAAGTGATCTAATTAGGATATCAGATTCATGTCATCTAATTCAACATGACTAATTTTCTTTAATTGAGATAATTCATAGATCATTAACAATAAACAATTAAATTTTAATAATAATTGATGCATCAGATTTAGAAGCAAATGTTATTACTGTAAAGTAGAACATGACTACTCACCTCGAATTTAAATGGCTTGCTGATCCACTAAATTTCTAACATCCATTCCATTAATTGAAAACCTATGATCATGTATAATTATGTAATACATCTTTATTATCTTAACTTATATATATGTAATAATGTCTCTTTATTTAGCTTATTAAATATAATACCTAAATAAATATCTTTTTCTATAAAAAAAGCATCATTAATTCATTTCATTTTAATTTAAATATTTATTTCTAAATATTTTTTAAAACTTAAACTAATAATAAATTTATTCACTAATAATGATAAAATTACTTCTTTTTCTCTCTCCTCTCTCTATTTACCATTAATTTTTTTAATTTAATATTGAATGAAAAAAATCATAATCTAATTATTATTATTTTCTATTGAAATAAGTTTTCTTTATTAAAACATTTAAATTTATTATTTTAATTACAATTTTAATTAATGCTAATTTAATAAATTTAAAAATAAGGTATCATCACCTAACACACACACACACACACACACATATATATATATATATTAAAGTCTTCTATATATCCTCCACCCCTATTTCTTTATTAAAACATTTAGGGTTTTATCTTCTATATTTTGTGGTATTGGTTGAATATCAGGTTACATCATATGCCCATGGAGCATCTGATTTGCTTGGCATTCAAATTGATGCGGCTATAAATCCCGGTCAGTTTAGTCTCTAAATTATTTTTTGAAATTCCTCACTTAAATTTTGGGCTGCTTGTTTATTAAAGCTTTTACAGGTTCTAAAGATTCATCTTTTACATTCTATTCTACATCTTCATAATGGAACACATCCTATCCAATATGCATCTTGTTTCAGGAAACAGCGGGGGTCCTGCCTTTAATGATCAGGGAGAATGCATAGGAGTTGCCTTTCAGGTAGATTTTCTCTACAATATTACATAACTGCTAGGCCTTTTTTTTGTTTCGATAGTTGAATGCACCCTTCTCGTTAAGAAAAGCAAAGTTATGATATATATGCTTGGCTAGCTGTTCGACACTTATGTATGAAGTGTATCTGTCAAATTATTATTTCCATAATACTTGGTTGCTTGAAGAATGACTACCCTATGAACCGTATATGCTACAAAGATTGTGTTATGTTCAAGATAGGCATTGGCATCAGTTGATGCAACTTGTTTTGGGGATAATTGTTTGTGTTGCTCCCCAAATTTAGCTATTTATAAAATCAACACCAACTGCATCCATTTGCAGGATGTTCACCCAAATCTTGAAGAGCTCGTCAAAACCTCAACCATTTTTTTTTTCTTTTGTTAAATTGTAAATTAGTTTATCTTGACAAACAAATATATGAATTTTAGTAGCTCATTTTTTGGAGTTGGGCGTTAGTTTCCTGAATAGTTTATTTTCATGCGGCATGTGCACAATTTACAACCCCCCCCCCCTTCTGCGCCGCTCCCGCTGCCGCTTAAGATCCTGTATTTCTGCAATTTAGCATCCAAGTTTGTGAGCATTTCTTGCTCTCAAATCCCTAGTTTCCCTATTTTGAAATTTATACTGAATGTGGATATTTTGATGGATCAGTAATTACTACTCATGACACTTAAACATCTTAGATTCTGTTTGACTGCTTGGATTTCTATTCGTTTTTTGAGGTAAATTCCCAATCTGAGGTTTTGTTTCATTGGGTTAAGCCCCATTCTAGCAAAATATTAGGTTGGCTAATTCTTAACCTAATTTTTTATTGCTTTATTGGCCCACATTTATTATTCTCTTGTTTTGGGTCCCATCCATCTTTGTGTTTACCCGTATTGCCATGTACTTTGTGTATTTGCTTTAATCTACTTGATTATTTCTTAGAATTCTTCCCCTCATGGAATGATGGACCTCTGTTGGACACTCTGTTTTTATATGTTTACTCATATTTTGTTTTCTCCACTAACGCTGGTTATTTGAGTTCATTATTTTGTTTGAGCACCCTTTCTTCCAATAAGATTTTCTATTGTTTCATTTTCTTTGAGATTTAAATTGATGAAATGCTGTTATTTTACTCACCTTCAATTTCTTCTCTCACAAATTGTATAACTTAGGTCTACAGATCTGAAGATGCAGAAAATATTGGCTATGTAATTCCTACCACTGTTGTTTCACATTTCTTAAATGATTACGAAAGAAATGGAATATATACTGGTGAGCAACTTACCCAACCTAGCATCCTTGATTTCAATTCTTTATTTCTTTGAGATTAAATGCTTAAAATATTTCATATTCTTAGCCTAATCTTTGGCGTAAATAAATTGCTTTAAGCCTTAGATTATGAATAAAAACACAATGAATGCTGTTTGATTCAACCACTGCAAAAATTTTTCTTTAACCCCCACTACATATTTCGAAGAATTGAAGAGCCATTTAAACGTTCTCAAACACTAAAGAAATGGACAAATGATGCACATGCTTGTAACCTTTTGTTTGATTTTTCTGTCAAAACAAAGTTTCTAATTCCGGTAGAGACCTTTTATGATTTTTCCAAGAATTTTACTCTTTTTCTATGTTTACCTTATTAATTGTTAACAGCTTCGAATACTCGAAGTCAGAGTTTCATTTGGAACAGATAAGTGATTTGTCAAAGCAAATGACACAACATAGTATGTCTGTTATATAGTATATATGCAATTTTTTAAATTAATATACGGTTTTCTTTATAAGCTACCTACTTATGAAGTTTAAAAGCTGTAATAAATTTTCAAGCAAATGTAGAGATGACAATTATCTCAATTTAAATTATATTTAAATAGCTTGGAGATGTTATCCTTTATAATGGGGCTGTCTGGTTGTATGCATTCAAAATGCAAGGATTTTGAGAATGTAGAATAAAATAAATTTAGTGTATTTTATTACAAAAAGTTGTTTGGTTTGCTGCAATATAAATACATGAAAATTTTTTAACTATTTGTTTTGATGTATAATTCAGTGCCATACTTTACTAAGATGCAATGGCATGATTACTCCTCACCAATATAAAACTTATAACTTTGGGCTCCGAAAATTCGCACCCCGGGCTCTTTGCTTTCGGGAGAGTTTTGACGGAATATTCCGGGTCAAAATTTTAAAAGGAAGATTAATTTTAAGATATGACACTACCTAGAGATTTTGCTTTTGTTTTGCGAGGACTTTTTGGTATGGTTCTAGGTTTCCCATAGGTGCAAGTTCCTATGATTAATTATCACTTCTGGTAACGAGAGAGAAGTGATATTAAGTGCTTAGTGTATAATAGCAACAAATTGTTATTGAAAATTTGAAAATTACTACCTTGTTCTAAAGTGGTCGGCGAGAGAATAATGATGAACCCAATTAAAATCCTATGGTTCCATTGTACCCAATTATCGTGGTCCCTAGTTTATTTAATTAGAGGAGCTATGTTGCATCGACACAAGCACAACAACACATACAAGTCAATTATTGAAAATGTAGGATATAGGTGTGATGCGCACATGACATTATAATTTTTGAATAGTGCATAGAAGGATGAACTTAATTAAGAGGATTGAAACTACTTGACATAGGAGATGTTTATCATAACATTTAATCTTTATTCTAAATGAATCTATTTGGGTGATAGAATATTTATTCTAATCATAAAGAATTGCAGGTCTCACCACCATCTTATAGAATTCAGATCCAACTATGTATACTAAATTTGTACAAAATCCTTTGCAAATGTGGGTGTAGAAAAATAGTTAGCCTTTGACTTAACATGCCAAATGGATACCAATAGTCAAAATGTATCCGAATATCTTTAACTAAGAAGGGTCGACTAGTGAATCGGAATCAGTAAAGACAAACTAATAAGGATGTTTTATATAGATAACCTTTAAAATGTCATGTTTGTCAAAATATCTCCTATTGATAGTTGTATTGGATGGGAGCCATAGTCTTCCAATAAGATATATGATCTATCTTTATGATGCCTTAAATACAAAGGGACTTTGCAACAAGGTAAGCTTTTGATATTTGTAAAGCTTTTGAGACATCAAATTATACCTTCAGGATGATCGAATCACATAACATAGAAAGAAATATCTTCGTTGTGGGTTGCCTCAAGTATGTGCATGAAGGGGCATAAATTGACTTGCAGTTGATTTTGCTTTCTCTTACTCTCCTACTTTGTCTTAAAAAAAGTGAATGCTTGCTTTCCTCTTTACTATGCTAGCTTGGATAGACTGAGTAGGAGTATGTGCAATTGACTTACATAAATCCTCATAGTTCTTTGCATCAAAATAAGATGAATAATTTCTTGCAAGGAATGAGTCATAATTTAATTATTCATCACATTAACAAAAATTCTTTGCTTAATTTGAGATAATGATAAACACTTACTTCTTTACCCATTAACAAATGCTAGACTTCTTTGCTCGTAATCATTGTGTTGCAATTCTATCTCGAAATCCTTAGCATTCTCTCCCCCAAGGAACTAACAACATTTCCTCCCTAACTCTGGGATGGCTTTATGAGCCCAGTTTTATAGTGATATTGCATAGCCATCAGTAGTATAGTGGATTGGACCATTTTTGTTTAGATTATTGGCCCCACAGTGCACCATATTCCTCTGTATCCCTCATAGTGTTTCCTCCTATGTCAGATTATCCATGGGTATCCGAAAAATGCCTCATCATTTTCAAACAAGTCGAGCATCTTAGTGTAAAAAAATGTTATGATCGTGGAGCACACAATCTATAAAGAAATATAACTCAAACTTTCACACTTCATGCGCTCTTGAAAGCTTCTTTAGATCTTTTTTTTAAAGTTCTTATTGCTATCAAATATGTCTTGCGCAAAATACTGCTTTTGCTCATCTTTTGGAATCCTCAGATGAGAATTCTCCAATTTACTACCTAATGATCAATGAAAATTAAAAAAAAAATGTCAAAGGAGTTGTTCTTCTCTCCAATGTTGAACACAATGGAACATCCGTTATTCTCATCATTATCATCAACTACTCTCATTAACATTTGATGAATTAGGGCCCAAGAGAATTGCATTTCTGGAGTTTTAAAGAACTGACCAATGTGTCTCTTAGCATTGAGAATGTGGTTATTAGCCTCAACTTTTTAACTAGTTTATTCATCATACCCCTAGATCTATACGTGATACATGTATTGTAATTTATCTCCTATGATATTGTTAGAACAAACATTTAGCAGAACAATCTTTGAACCATAATTGAACCATCTTTGAATATGATGCAAAGTTATTTCAATAATGGCTCGATCATGGTTTGAATATTGTTCAAATCATATCGAAGATTATTCGATTATGAATTAATCATCATTTAAAGATTGTTTGAATATGGTTTAAAGATTGTTCGATTGTAGTTTGAAGGTTGTTCGATCATGATTCTAAAATTGTTTGATTATAGTTTAATCATGGTTTGAAGCTGAATGTAGCTTAAAGATTGTTCTAACAAGTTTGTATTATATAATCTAATGTTTTGTGGGTTTATGGTATCATCACTAACCTTTACTGACAATGAATTGAGAGATATGTTTACATGAACTTTTGCCACAGCTTGAAAACACTCTCTGCAATCTATGAAAACAGAGAAGGTGCAAGGTAGAAGAATGGTCAAGGAGGTCCTTTGATTTTTTTTTTTTTGTAAAATTTTTTGATAGGGTTCTGATTCCATTTATTAAAAAATGGGGTATTTTGGTTCAGAAAGTATCTTTCGGGTATATTTTTCCAAGAAATTAAATAACAGTCATATCTTTCAATTTTTGCTATTATAGGGAATATAAAGTCATATATATAGTGTTGGTCGAAGAACCCCTTAAGCATGTGCCTTCTTTCCTGCAAGGCACTTGAGGGAGTATTAAAAAAGGGGGCAACACCCCCACCTCTTTTTATTTATTATTTTTATTATTTTTGCTATTTAATTTTTTATTAGTATTACTTATTTATTATTTTATTTTAGCAGATTTCTTCATTTTAGATTATTTTATTTGTTTGATGTGGAAATTATGTGCATATGCATGTGAGCTCACTGCCAATTTTTCTTCCCATTGTTCATGTCAAAATTTTATCCTCTCGTGTGCCAACTGATTCAATGAGCAAGGGGGACTTCTTGATCCATTTCAGTGTTTTGAACGTGTCAGGATATTCCTTTTGGCGTAATAGGAGATGGATTTGACTGGGAAACTTGTGGATCAAATATGGACGTCAATATTTATAAAATTCTCAAAGTATTATTTTTTTTATCTTTCCTTAATATCATCAATTTTAACAAAGATCCAATTGTATTTATTTCTAAACATCTAACTAGATCAAATTCTTTAGAGCTCTTATTTTTATACTTATATACATATGTATATCTCACTTTGTCCTTTTTTATAGCAAGCCTATTGTATAAATCATTAGTAGTTATGGTCCTATTTTATAAATCATTAATAGTTATAGCTTTTTCTTTGCTCACTATGTTCTTTAAAAATTTATATTTTTTACCATCTTTATAATTCTTAGAGTATTCGACTTTTTTCATCAGAATGCAAACAATTGCATACTCAAAATCATAGGTAGGCTACAAGAATGGTGTCAAATTAGTTTTGGATGAGGTGGTTTTAATAGCTCTTCATTCGATATATTGATTATTTTGTTGTGTTGCTTATTCCTTAGTAGTAAGTTGTGTTGCTTGTTTCCTAAAACCTTAGTATTTTCTGCTTTTTACCTCGCACAACTTGGAGAGATGCCAGACGATATACTGGCTTATGCACATAATTAGATATATGCATAGTCCTGACTTTTTTGACAAGGACCCCTTCAACAGTTTGAAGTCAACTTCAAATGTATTTTGGAAAATTTTTCATATACTCTAACATTGAGAAAGCATTATTACAGCAAGCATGCGAAATTGTCTTGATCATATATATAACCTTAACCTTATAAATCACAGGTTTTCCTTCTCTTGGTGTACTCCTTCAGAAATTGGAAAATCCGGCATTGCGCGCTTGTTTAAAAGTGCCATCCAATGAGGTATTTTAAGCATGGATAGCGTCTAACATACTTACGTGATTCCTGTTTTTCTTGTTTATCATTAGACAAAATCAAATTCCTATGCATATATTTTGAAAAAAAAAAAACTAAAAAAAAGAAAAAAAAATTCCTATGCAAAATTTTGATTCCTTCAATTATGTCACTATAACCTTTTAATGTTTGCTAGCTCTTGATGATGCTTTCTATTATAAATTATTTAATTGTGTTAATAATTTTCCTTCATAGAAATTTCAATAAATATAATGTGATGATACAGATCTCTGTGTCACAAATTATTTATTTGTGTGTTAATAATTTTCCCTCGCAGAACTTTCAATAAATATAATGTGATTAGGATACAGATCACTATATTGCTAGGTATTTACTGGACTCTTCCTTGTTGAAGATTTAATTCTTGTGTTGTTAGATGTTCCATCAATTCGGATTTTGAGTGTTGAAGGTAATACCGTGCTGATGAAATTTAGCAGTGTTCTTCATTTTTTTCATATGATTTGTGGCTAGAGTGCAAAGTGCATTGATGTTTTTTTTTTCTTTTCTGCTGGACATTGAGGGATAATATAGTAGAAAAGAAAATGAGTGAGGTTTCTGGTGAACAAGAAGGGAAATGGTAGTTGTTGTCTCGAGCAGCTGTTTTGAATCATTCCATGGAAAAACTCGGGCCTCCGCCTACTTTTGCTTTTCTTTTCAGGGGAGTTTTAACGGAATTAAGTTCCGGGGTAAATTTTGGAAGACAGATGAGTTTGCAGATAAGACACTACCCAAAGATTTCGCCCTCATTTTGGGATGACTTTATGATCTTAGTTCTAGTTTCCTATAGCCGCAAGCCCCTATAGTTAATTACCCCTCCCGATAACGAGAGAGAACTTTCGATTAAGGCTAGTCGTCAATCAGATACGTAAAAATACGTGTTATCTGGCATATAGTAGCAGCATGGACATTCAGAATGCTTGGAGAATTGATATTTAAAATTTGAAATTGCACCATCTTGCACTTAAAGCAGATGGTGGGGGAATGGATGATAGACCCGATCAAGATCCTATGGTTCCGTCGTCCTGGGTCATTATGGTCCCTGGTCTACTTAGTCAGAGGAGATAGTCGACCCAACCTGACAGAAGGATACTTGTCGGCAGCCATGGGTTGTTTCGTCCAAGGGGATCTTCTAGACCTGGGGTGGGTATTTGTCTAAGGGGACAAATTTGAATCGACCTTAGCTAACAGAGGGCTTTGTGCCTTATCGATCATATCCTATTGATTCATATCTCAAGGATTTGATGCCACTAAGGAGCTTATTGGCTCTGACCATAACCGGTATTTCGTGGTGCCATTTGGCGGGAAAACCACTCGGTTCAGAGGGTCCCGGGTCATAATTGTTTATCCTGCGGTGCCATTTGGCGGCAAAACCGTCGGTCAGAGGATACGTACCACGTCCTTATTGACAGGAGACTATTTGAGAATGAATCATAGTGATATTGTAAACTAGGCATTAGCTCTATGTGAGCTGAAGTAAATTTTAAATTTGTCCATCTTGGCAAACTATTGCAGAGGGTGGATGGATTTTACTTTAAGTAATTCATGGTTGAATTTCATTTTAAATATCTAGATTTTTGGGATTTTTCTTAGAGTTTGAATTTTGGGGACATTTGGGATGACATTTGAAAATATTTGAAATTAACCCCTATGGTTGAGATTTGCATTCAACATGGTCATCATCGGGGTGTACTGGGTTATTTCCATTTGATTAAACCTTATCGATCCTATCAACTTGTCGACAGGGGATTGGGTTTCGTAGGCTTTGTGCCTTTATTAGTTAATACTCATTGTTGTAGGCTTTGAGGGCCTAATATGAATGTATTAAAAATTTAAAATAAATATACCGGTCGCCGCAATCGTATATTTATTTGATGGTTCGAACCCTGTCGACTCCTATTGATCCGCATAGAAGGATCGGGTTCGAACTTAAATTCACTTATTGACTCGCGCAGCATCCCTAGACGTCACATGTGTACCAATAATATGCTCGTCGGGGCCCATACGGGTGTTTGGGGGTATTTTGTATTTAAACCCTGTCGACTTCTACTTACCTTTCTAGGAGGATCAGGTTTAAATTTATTGACCCGCGCAGCATCACTAAACGTCACATGTGTTCTTACAACATGCTCGTCGGGGCCATGCGGGTAAATGATTGCATACCCCCTTTTAGTGTACATATGTGTATACAAATTATGGTGCATGTTCGGGGGCATTTTTGACATTGACGAGTTTTCTACGATAACTTGTAGAGGTTTGTAGTCATATGTATCTACTATGAATCCTCTTCTTCTACTGGAAGAGGATCAATAGATTTGTCGCTACCTCTTTACAAGCTGTATAAGTATCTCAGTTCTTGTCATAGGCTCCTTGTACTCTACCCTTGTTGTAGATGGCATATTATGTGTATGGCGGAACTTCTACCGCTGCTCATAGGAACTTGCATTTATTTTGTATTATCCGCCTCTGTTTGCAGAAGACCGATGTACTTACTTGATCCTGAGTGGTGATTGGTTGTAAGATGTTATTGCGTTCATTCTCAGTCTTCCCTATGTGTGTTGATTGGAGAATTATTGCATTCAAGTCCTTGTAGTTATTGCAATTACTCCAAATCATCCACTTGTACGAAATCTCATTACCAGTTACAAGTGATTTGTATTTGTAAGAGTTCGATATATTATCTTGCAAACTCATATTTGAAGACAAGTTCTTCGACGCCTTTGATAATGATCTGCAACATGTATAATGGACCTAGAAGTATTCATGTTGATACCTGCTTGCAGTCCCATTTTATTTGCTTGCAAGTTAATATTGATTGTAGGAGAATTATTCTTCGTATGGAGGATCTTCCGTACATCTACTGTTGTCACTCGTAGATGGACAAGATTTGTGGTAGTTCTTATGTGTGGTGCCTCTTTTATGATGTTGATTGGTTATTGCTTGTAGGTATCATTGTGTGGATACCAATTTGATTGAAGAGCTTGGGCCACTTTAGTTTCATCATTCCTTAATCCAATGGTGATTCTCATTTGGATGAATAGGCTCGTTCATTAGTTATTATATATTTATCATTTGAGAGTCTAATCCTCAACTTAGTGACTTGTGTACTCTATTGAACATACATCCTCCATTTGATCTTGATTGAGTAATCATGATTGTCAATTAACGCTTGGATATCACAAATCCCTCTTGCTATTTGATTGCATTTTTATTTGATTCTTTCTTGCATGTCTTATAGAGTTGTCATGCTTATTGATAAACAACACGTTGTATGTTGGTATTTGCATTCTTGAAGACCCTCAGCATTTGTAGAGAACCATAGTCTTCCTCTGTTGATTGATCATCACCATTGAAAGGGACATCGTATGCTACATCATGCACATCTACTCGTCATTTGTATGCACTTAAGACTTAATTTTCATGAGTCCTTTGTTGTTCAAATCATTGATATTCATTTGAATGCCTTGCATCATCATTGATTTGAGTTCAAATTTATTCACATTAAGCTCATTATCATTTGTTCCATGTGCAAGCTCAAGCCACAAGTGTTTAGCTTGAATCTAGAGTACAAGTTCAAGTCTAAGTTAAAACTTTTTGTACCAAGTTCATTTAAGTTCAAGAAATGGTTCCCCGATGTCTAATCTCAAGTTGGAATCTCGTTGTTATTTGTTTCAAATCCAAGTCCATGTTCAAGTTCACTTAAATTCATTTGTTGCAAGTCCAAGTTCACAATATTAGAATCTTGCTTCAATATTCAAATTTGATTCAAATCATTGCACATTCAATTAAGCTTAAGTTTATGTTATGCTCCAATCGAGTTCGAGTCCAAATAAAGTCCTCCATATGTTCAAATAAAGTTCAGGCTCAATATGAGCCTCTTCCGTTTGAGTCCCCTGTTGTCCATTGAATTCAAATCATGTTGAGTTCAAGTTCAAGTCCATCTTGAGTTTGAGCTCACTTAAGTTATTTTCTTTTAATTAAGTTCAAGTTGAGTTCACAATTGATTCAAGTCTTTCATGGTTCATTTAAGCTCATATTTATTTAAGTCAATTGCATCAAGTCCACAAGTCCCAAATTGCCCTTTGAGTTCAATCAAGTCCAAAGTCCAAGCTCACTTTTTTGTTCAAGTCCTTGTGTGCTTCGGTCTGAATTTCGACAGCCTCCCAGCGTCTCCTTCATTTAGGGGAAAAACTAAGAGGCAACCTTCCCCTCGTCGCTACTTGAGCGCTTCAGGTAGGTGCCAAATAACACCGCGGTTGCTTTTTTTTTTTTAAATCTCCGCCCGCTACATGAGCGTTTAAGGGTCTCGAGCATATGTTTAAAATAACACAATTTCTTTTCCCCCTCTGCACTACATGAGCGTTTTGAGGTACTTATTTTTTGTCCCCCTCGTGCTATATGAGCACTCCGGGGACTACTCGCCTCGTCGCGAGCGTCGTGCCAGTTTTCCTCCCTACTACGCTACATGAGCGCGTAGGGGGTTTGTTGGCTCGTTGCAAGCTACGAGAGAAGGATACACATCTATCTTGTGTGGATATTGTGAGAGGGAAGATCAGGAGCTGGGGTGCTCGATCGCGTGGAAGAACAGGCGTCAGAGGTTGAGGAAGGAAGAGAGGGACTTCGGGAGCTTGAGATGCGGGAAGAGGAGAAATGCCAAGCAACCCCGTCGAGAGACTTGAGCTCTCGTTTTAACGACGCAAATGGCATGATCGACGAGCTGCTTCGCGAGAAATCTGGGAAGACATCACTTCGGCGCCGAAGTCAGCGGGATATCCGGGCTGGACAGGTACGAAGAATGATTTCATTTTTGTTTTCTTTGGGTATTATATAGAGGTTAACAAAAACAAAAGCTTTGCATTGTTTAAGTTGATGATTAACCAAAAGCCGGAAATAATAGATTTTAGAGTAGATGTTGGACAATATTGGGAAACAATAGATTTCATTCATTCATGTAAAAATTTACTTCTAAATGATCTTATGAGATATTTATAATAATAATAATAGCCTTACAACTGGAACGATCTAAATACTCTAAACATTGACAAATTGACACCCAAATCCATACTGACAATAATGACCATAACATTGGCATAATAACATTCAAATTTCATGGCATAATTGTCACAATCCAGCACAGGAGCTTGGGTAAATTGCAGCTCAGGAGCTTGGGTAAATTGAGAAAGGATAAATTGTCTTGTGGAAAGCGTTCACTACCCATCCATTAGAAAAAGAAAAAATGTAATATAAGGACAAAGCTATTGAGATTTTGAAAATTTAGAATTCCGTACATACACACATGAATATATATATATAACAAATTGTATTCATCAAAAACATAAAAGAAAATCTTGATATTTTCATCAAAGTATCCACAAGATGCTAAACTATACATATTTATAACTTACAAATGCATTATTATATACTCCACTTTGGAGCATTGATTTATAGATCATCAAAACGCTATATGTCTAATGGACCATAATTATAACAAAAGTATCTAAAATAACATTTTACATTAACCACAATTACATGCATATACTTAACAAAATATGCTCTCTACTCCATTCCCAAAAGAACAATCATCAACATCAACTAGTTTGTTGAAAAGAACTTGAAACCTGAGATGTGTTCCATATTCCCGATAAGACTTCAACACTATGCATTTAAGCAAAGTGTGTGAATCCAATTTATTGTGCTAGCATGGCTTGTCTCTGAATGCGTACTGTTCCTGATGTAGGACTACAATGCTTAAAGTAATTTAATAAGAATTTGTACGACTTATTAGTTAGAATAATAATGATTAGAACTATTAGCAAATAAAACGAAAAAATAAAACGTAAGAGCAGTCACTTCCGTTTAGGCTAAGTTGCACAATGAGAGCTTTGAATTATCAAAATAACAAAGAAAATCAACGACATGCAAATGTAATAGCTTTCAACAAAAATCTCTAATCTAACAATAAGATTAGAAGCAAATAAAATACACTCAATTCTACGTTTATTAGGTTTTGGGCAACGGAGAAACAAAACTCTACGTTTACTAGCTTAGGCAAAGGTGAAGCTCGGCTCCGTGTGAATCGTTATCAAAACCGGGAAACAAGTAGGCGAGGTGTTGAAGAAGTTTCTTCCTAGCTCCTCGTGAAGGTTTAACTGGAGGGGAAGAAATCTCTCCCTAGCATTGAAGTGTTGAATGTAATGATCTTTTGCTCGCCTTGAAGAATCCTTTGAGAGAAAGAAATTTCCCTCAAGAATTCAACTAGGAGAAGGCAAGAGGAGGGTGACCGGCCAAGGGGAGAGATTTGGAAAGGTTAGGTTCAGATTTTGGTAATCAGGTTTAAAGTTTCAAAGGGGGAAAATTGGGAGGAAAGGCTGAAATCACTTTCCCAATCAAGGTCCTTTGTTTTTGGAAAGAATTTGAATGGCCTAAGGGGAGGAGAGGGGCGGCGGGTAAGGCAGAGAAAGGATAAGGGATTTATTTCCAAAACTTAATATTAGGTTTTGGAAATTAATTAGGAGGTGAGGGGTTTTGGAAATTTCAGCCAAAGTGGTGGAGAGGGAGGGGGGGCAAGTGTTTAGATGCAATGTATTTGGAGTTAAGGCTTTAATTAATTAATCTATCATGATTTTATTGATTGAATTAAATAAGAACCTTTCCCAAAATAAGATAAAGAGAAAAGGAAAGATTTGAAATTTGGAGTTGAGGCTTTAATTAATCAATCCATCATGATTTGATTGATTGAATTAAATAAGAACCTTTCCCAAAATAGAATGAAGAGAAAAGGAAAGATTTGAAATTTGGAGTTGAGGCTTTAATTAATCAATCCATCATGATTTGATTGATTAAATTAAATAAGAATCTTTCCCAAAATAGGATAAAGAGAAAATGAAAGATTTGAAATTTGGAGTTAAGGCTTTAATTAATCAATCCATCATGATTTGATTGATTGAATTAAATAAGAACTTTTCCTAAAATAAGATTAAGAGAAAAAGAAAGATTTGAAATTTAAAATTGATTTATTTCAAATTCAAATACTTTCCAAAAATAAGTTGACTTAAATAAGGAAAGTGGTAAAGGAATTCCAATTAACTTGAAATTCAAATGGAGTTTAATTTAGGAAACTTTTCTAAAATAGATTTTATAATTTTAGGAAAGATTTTAAATTTCAAATTGAGTGAATTTGAATTCAAAATCTATCCAAAATTATGTCAATCTAGAATAGGAAATAAATCCAAGAGAGGGTAAGGGGCTAGGGGCCGGCGGCTTGCTTGGGGTTCGGGTAAGGGAGCCGGCGGCTAGGTGGAGGTAACTTGGAGAGTTTTTGGTGGAAGGATGGTGGGGATGAAGGTGGCCGGCGGCTTGGAGTGAGGTGGGGTTAGGCGGACGGTTGGGTAGGAGATGAGAAGAAAGGGAAAATAGATAACGAAGAAAACCACGAACCCGGCCGTCTCCAAGGGTGGTGGGTGATCCAAATTCCCTCTCCTAGGGATCTCGCTCTCTCTCCAAGCACTCTCAAAATCTCTCAAGAACTCAAGCAATAGCACAAATTTTTTTATCATTCAATCATTTACTTTAGAAGAAGTACATGAGGGCTATAAATAGTCTCGTACAAAAAAGACTCAAAGATAAAAGACAACCTTGCCTTTAGGCTTATATATGACTTCCCTTAAGCAAGGGGTAAAACGGAAAAAACATAAATAACAAATAATATAATAAAACAAATACACGAAATAACTCAAAACACATCGACTCGATCGTCGCCGTAGATCGACAGTCACGCCTCAGATATACTTTTCATGCACTGATGTCCCCATCATTTCCTCTGCTTGAAAATATACTTGTTTCGATCAATGATTTTGCAATGTTTCCTGTTGGAAAAATTCGGACTTGTAGCAAGACATATATACACTTAAGCTTCTTTGAACTTTGAATTATTCAAATGTGCTGTGGAATTTCCTAATCATGCGGTTTTCTAACAATTGTTTTTGTTTTAGCTGTAATAAGATCTATTATTTCCGACTTAATTGACCTTTTTTGTAAATGTACTTATAGTTTGTCGTTCAAACAACGTCACTAGAAAGAACAGTGGATGTGGTTATATCATAGTTTTGCTAAGCTAGGTTTATATTTGATTAAACTTCTTTTTTTCTCCCCTTAAGTGAATTATGCAGCCCCTGATAAAACCAATTTGAAACGTCTTTCCTTCTCTACATTTTTTCATTCACTTAAGCATCTATGGCCTAATTTAGAGCTCTCATTTTCTTCGTGCTTCTATTTTGAAGGGTGTTATGGTTCGTAGAGTTGAACCCACCTCACCAGCGCATGGTGTTCTAAAAGAGGTACTTCTCAATAAAGCCACACATAAACTGGTCTTTAATTTTCTAGTCATTTGCTTTACTTTATACTTTTTTTAAAATTTTTTATGTATATTTAAATGAAACAACAAAAGCCTTTACGTTTTCATGGCTTAACTTAATGATTTCAACCTGTTCGTCTGTCTTTTGGCTATTATGCGAATCAATTCAGTATCAAGTATTCTTTTTACTGCAGGTCAATTGTCGAAAACCCAAAAAAAACTGGCAAATGAGTCTAATTAGTAATGGTGTATATGCATGGCATGAATTTTAATCAAATTAAGTGCCTGATTTTTCTCTGATGAGATCTACAAATTCCAATAGCAGGGAATAATAATTGCAACGGAAATCTTCTGAAATCTTCATGTTTCACGTGCAAAATAGTCAGTATTGTACTTGCCAAAGTAAATTCATTCATACTTTTAGCTAACTCATGGTAATTGGAGACTGGACAGTCATATAAACTATTGATAACTGTAATTATCTACATTTTAGCTTTCAAATTTTACTCGTTTATTTTCAAATTTTACTAGTATCCTGTTGTTGATCTCTTCATCAGCTGCTGATATTAATCAAGGTTGTGAAAATCGGACTGGACATAGAACTAGGAGTGGTTTAGGGTTCAATAGTTCGATCGGGATCTAGCCAGTTTGACGTAATAAATATGAAAATTATTTAAATAAAATTTAAATGACATAATAATCATGTAATAACATTATTTTTTTATTAAAAAATAAATTGAATTCACACATTAATAATATCTTATGTAATTTTAACTTTAAACATATTAAATATTTAAATTTAATTCAAATTTAACAAAAAATTAGCTTAAATATGAATTTATAAATTTATTGTACATTATTATTAATTTATGTTATATGTTTAGATATAATTTATAGTTTTACACCTATAAATTATATATTATTAAGGTTAGTTCATTTATTATTAATAAATAAATAAATAAATAATTTTATAGTATATAAATAATAAATGAAGTGTATAATTTATTTAATATTATTAATTTAAAATAAATGCTATTTACATCATAAAAAGTTTATTTAAATTTAAAAAAATATATATATAGTGAATGTTGTAAACTTAAGAAGTAAGAACTTCAATTTATTTAGTCACACATTACTCGGGAACTTCTTGGTAATGTTTATATTGCTTTTTGAGTTTAGATGAGGTAAGAACTGACATATAGTGATAAAGCCATGTGAAATGTTTAGTTTGAATTTCTTTGTTAAAAAATAAGCATTTTAAATTTAAATTAATTTGTTAAATTACAAATATTATTTAAATAATTTAGAAATTGAATCAGCCGATTCAAGGGAACCTGGACTGGTTCACCTGTTCCCCGGTTGAACTAGCAATTTTGGCAAGTTCAGCCCTGTTTGATATAGAAACAATTTTCTGGATGTGCCGGACCTACCTTAAATAGGTTCACTGTTGAACCGGTCAGACTGGCCTGATTTGGTTAGGTTTTAAAACCCTAATATAAACAGTAAAAATAATCTTCAAAATTTTGAAACACCTCAACTCCATCATAATTGTGAACACAATGATGGCAACATGTCTCCCCAGCTTTTTGATTTAAATTAGAGCATTAGAGAGATTCTTTGGTGGATTAGTGATTTTTTTGTTGTTGGGACATTTAGGCCAATAAAGACAAACTCACACACACATCACATATACAAGGACTCGAACCCAAGATCTCTTTGATTGTAGCCTAAGCTCTCAACCAACAGGCCAAGATGAGTTATGTGTGGATTAGTGATTTCATATTCTTTTTACCATAAGGGGCAGGAATGAGAAGAAATTCTATCAATACTCACCTATATTCATTAGGTTTCAAGCTGGACTATCTAAATAAATAATTTAGTGATTTTCATGATCCATAGGATGGTACCTCCTTGATCTTTTTTTTCTTCTCTACGATGTTTGATAATTGTCCTTATTGCACTCAACTCATTATCTAGTTAGTATACATTGCTTTTAAAAGAAAAAAAAAACATTATTATGTGTGACCACATTTATCATAAATTATTCGCCAGTCTAATATGATGATCAATTTTATTTATTATGTGAAGTCTCAACCAAAACTTTTCTATTATGTCTGTAGTTCTTCGTTTGACGTCTGAAGAATTAACTTTACATGATATTCAAAATTTTCAGGGAGATGTGATTGTAAGCTTTGATGGGGTACAAGTTGGGTGTGAAGGAACTGTCCCTTTTCGATCTACAGAGCGAATTGCTTTCCGATATCTTATAAGTCAAAAGTAATATCCCGTTTCATTTTTTTCATTTAAATTCTGTTGTCGTTTTTAGTGAAATTATATATATTTTTGATGCCCAAATCTATTTTTTCTCGAATCTTCCATGGTGCGTGGTCACTCCTATGTTCTTTATTTGCTCGTTGGCTGGCATATTATGTGGTGCATTTGATAATTATGAATCTGCTCATCTTTTACAAGCTATTAATTTGACACGTGAATATTTTTAGTGGTAGAACAATCAATATACGCTCTACTCATATTTTCACCTTTATACTTTTCCACATAATTTCTTTTATGGATTCAAACCTTATGTATTTTATGGCACTAATATGCTTTTTTCTTTATCGGTATATTCGAATTCTTATGCAGTTTTTTATTTTCTGTTTTTGTTCAAAATTAGATTTTCAGGTGATGCTGCAGAACTGGGAATCATCAGGGAAGGCGCATATATAAAAGTTCAGACAGTTCTTCAACCACGTGTGCATTTAGTAAGAAACATCTCTTATTGATCGATACGTGATTTGGAGTTGGACATTTTATCGTTTTGAATCATGGAACAGTGAAGTTTCCAGTTGTTATAAATGGTAAATTTTCTTTTCCTAAATAGGTGCCATATAATGTTGAAGGAGGGCAGCCTTCTTATCTGATTATTGCTGGTCTGGTATTCACTCCACTCTCCGAACCTCTGATAGAGTAAGTTAAATCCCAATCACTGAATGTATCTGATTACTATTCACGAGCAGTTTTAGACAGTCTGAATTGTAATAGCTGAACTGAATACAGGGAGGAGTGTGAAGATTCCATAGGGGTAAAGCCAATTTCTGGTTTTTTCATTATATTTTGAACTTGTTTTATGGAAACTTTGGTTATGTGATGGCCGTTTTGTTTGTTTGTTTGTTTGTTTTTTTCAGCTGAAACTGTTGGCTAAGGCTCGCTATTCTCTTGCAAGATTTAAAGGAGAGCAAATAGTAATTCTATCTCAGGTCAGCAATTTTATTTTCTGATAAAAGAATTTAGTTTGTTTTGACATATTAGTTTGTACTTCGCCAAGATTATTCTGTGTTTCAACATATTATTTGAAGTTGTTTAGTTATGAGAAAGTGTTGTGAACTGGACCTCTTCTCTTTCATATCCATACCATTCTAGTTTTTCTTGGTATTCTCATTGTTTAAATCCCTGAACCTTCTTTTTTTTTTTGGCTCCTAGTTAAGAGGATAGGGCTATAATATATATATATATATATAAGCACAAACATGTACATGACATAAAAGGGACACATGACAAGTTAATTATTGAAACTAATAGACACTGACACGGGTTAAACATGGCATTATAATTTTTTATACCGTAAAAACACTTTATAGTAATTTAATAAGTAGAATATTAAAAATAATTAAGAAATAATAAGTTATTTTATTAGGATTAGTGCTTAAAATAATTAATATTAGGATTTTGAGAGTCTGGCATAAATGTTATGTTAGGCATCGAGAGGGGAGACAAAAATGCTATCGGGAGTTGGACATCGATTTTGAGATAACATTTGCTCTCGATATCAAGTCGATGTCGGTCTTCAATATTGAGATGATGTTTAACAAAGGTGAGATGCCGAGATGACACAGGGGCGTGATTGTGGGGGTAGAAATTATTGGCGTTGAGCATGAATGCCAAGATATCATCACACTTTGATGTTGAGATGATTTTAAAACATTTAGGTTTTGACAGTCTTTGATGTCGATTTGAGATAACATCCTGGGTTGTTGTGAAAACCTAGTCGTAACTCAGTAGAGAGAAATGAAAAGGGAACGCTTGGAGAATGAGGTGTTGAGTACATGCGATTGATTTGGGGTTGCGAAGAAGAACTAAGAAATTTCATTTTTATTTTCTTAATGAATAAAAAATTGAAGTGCAAGAAATTATATTTAAAAAAAAATCATAATATGTTTAAAACACATGCATCCGTTTTTTAATATATTCTTTGAGAAAATGATCAAATGATCATTTGACTCTATATGAATGATCATAATGATTTATAACTATATTAAATGATTATTTTGGTCATTCAAGACTTAAAAAAGGAATCAAAATAGTCTCATGCTGGGACTATTTTGGTTCCTCTTTAACAAGTTGAGAGACCAAGATGGTTTACTTAATATAGCTGGAGACTATTTTGGTCATTTTCTCTATATATTTTTAATCGGACATGTCTTTGGCATGTTCAACACGTGTCGAACGTGTGTGGTGTCTGATACGTGTCGTACATTATATACCTCTTTGAGTAGAAGTGTTGGTGCATCATAGTTGTCGGGCATGGTTTCAATAAGGAGAAATTATTACGTGTGGAGTCTAGTTATGTCCGGACTCCAATAAAAATGTGACACTTGTCCTTGTACACAGTGTGCACAACTGTACACACTATATATAAATTACAAAATTATGTGCATAGTGTATACAAACTTATATATATAATATACACAGTTGTACACAATGTGTACAAATTTGTACACACTATGTACAATGACACGTCACATTTTTATTGGAGTCCGGATGTAACTCTACTTCCGGACTCCGCACGTAATAATTTCTCTTCAATAAGAGCATTTTTGTATTCCATTGTATAGGCATAAATAATGCTAAACACTGAGCCAAAGTGTAAACTCTAATGTATGATGCATCATATTTGTATAGGCATCATTATACAATGTTGCTGCATGCCGCCCATTTCTATGGCAATTGATTAAGGGCTTTGAACCATCCAAGGGATCTTTGGTTCATGGATAAGCATGTGTGATTTATTTTGGCACTTAACTTCTTCGACAAAAAAAAAACTAATCATTCTTTTTAAGTTTGATTAAAAAACTTAAATAGTAACCACAAATATTGCAGTAATATAATTTTCCATTTTATAATTAATCATATTAATATAAATTATAATTTTGAAGTATTTAATATTTTTAGAATTTTATATACAAATATTTATTTTATAAATTGCATGTTACATATTTTAAATTAAGATATTTATTATATGATTCTTTTCTTCATCCAGGATTTTTTATAGAAGATATGATAAATCTAAAATAAATGTATTATTATTAAATTTATAATGTAAAAAGTAAAAAATAAAACAGTCAAAATTAGGGGAAAAAATAATGTTGTTAGAATTTGGGGTTGTGAGTCATTGTGGCACTCATATTTTGATATTATTGAGACTCATTTCCAAAGTTAGCGCACATTAAATTTATTCCTGATTTAAATTTTTTTCTTATTTTTAAATCTACAATAACAATATGTTGATAAGATAATATATAAATCTTTTGCATTGGATTGTAAATGTTAAGAAAAATGAAATTGAAACTGAAAGAAAATAATGAAATTGCAGAACTACCAAAACCTGTGAAACTAGAACTTTTATCATATGATCGAACTTGAAACTTAAACCGAGATTAAAAACCAAATTTTAAATTTTTTTTAGTGGAAGCATTCGTATTTTTACTAACTCTCATCACTCTCTACCTTTTTCTCGTATGCGGTAGCATTTGCTAATATAATCCTTTTGTATTTATGATATATCAGGTTTTAGCAAATGATGTGAACATCGGTTATGAGGATATGGGCAATCAACAAGTATTTGAATCTATTTAACTATTTCCATTAAGTATCTCCCTTAATCCTGATGTCTTTCTTTTTAGTCATTACTTGATCTATAATGAATGCAGGTTCTAAAGCTAAATGGAACTCGCATAAAGAATATTAGACATCTTGCTCATCTTGTTGACAGTAAGGATGCTACACCCTAAGGAGCTGTTTGGTAGCACCCCATATTTAATTTGAGTAGGATTTTGTAAATCCTCTAAATCCGGATTTCAGAAATCCTAAGGGGCTTAAATCCTGAAAACTGTTTGGTAACATTCATGATAAATCCTGTTAAATCTCATGTGACTGTTTGGCTATAGAGCAGGATTTACCGAGTTGGACTCTTCCTCTCGCGCCGTGGGTTTCGTAAATCCGGCAAAAAGCAGGATTTCGGAAATTTGGGATTTAGCACGAATCGGCGGAATTTTCCGTCTACGGCGGCTTTCATTTGCCGTGAGATTTGGTTTTGCATTTTAGGCAATTTGGCTGGATTTCGCTCAAATCCGGCCTAAATCCTGCTACCAAACAGCCCCTAAAGGAAAAATTATTCTAACAAACTCTAACTCTGTATTGAAATTCTTTTGGCTATTTCATATATGTTTTCAGCTTGCAAAGGAAAGTATTTGGTGTTCGAATTTGAGGAAAATTTTCTCGCTGTTTTGGACCGGGAAGCTGCCACTGCTGCCTCTTTATCTATTCTGAAGGGCTATGGAATTCCAAGCGAAAGATCTGCTGATTTGTTAGAGCCATATATTGACATTGAAGATAACCAAGTGTCAATTGAAGAAATTGGAGATAGTCCTGTGTCTAACCTGGAGTTAGGATTTGAAGGACTTCTTTGGGCATAAAAATTCACCACGATCCATTCGGTCTTTTCTCAGTTAAAAGGTATATATGCAAAGACTTCTCCTTCTATTTCTTCTCATCTGAAGCTTGCTGTATTGTTCCCATGTAATTTCAATATTTTTTTAAGTAGCTGATGGATCCATTCTTTTTAATTAATTGGAAGCCCTTTAAGGCTCCATTGATGCATGATGTGATTCATTCTCTAAATCTGTGTATTTTTTATGGAAGAAGCTGCAGTAATCCTCTATCAAAGATGTAAGAACTGAAGAATTTTCTTTCATCTCCTTCTGTAATTTGTTATTATCCATTCTTTTTGAAGAAAGTGGAAACCAATCCTAGTTTTTTTTTATTTTTTTATTTTTTTTTTAAGTTACCTATGTTTATGTTGATGATGTTACTGCATATTGGAATTGGTCAAATGGCCATTCTTTTGTTCCCAGATTTTTTTTTTCTCATTGATTTCTCTGTGTATAGACGAACGATAGATGCTAGCACAAAAGCTGGATGCTCAATTGATGCTCGCAAAAGTCTTGAATGCAGAAGCATCAGTCGATGGATATCCTGATTTTTATAGCTTTTTAAGATGCTAATAAGATTTTGTGAGCATCCTTACCAAGAGGAATTTTGCCCAAATCAGTAAGTTTATTATTCTAAATTATTTGTAAGAATTGTTTTTTTTTTAAACTAATTTTCAATATGTTTATTGTACTTTCTTTGTAGCATCTATGTACTGAAAAATTAATCTCTTTATGCCTAGCAGATGTTTAATGTGCATACTGATTTCTCAATTGTAGTCTTGAAAAATCTGCTTGTCCCCTAATAATCATACGCTTAAGTTTTGCCCTTCATCTGGAGAAATAATTCTGTGCGAACACCGAACTGTCCAAAGGCGAATTAGAATGTGTCACGTCATCTGATAAACGGCGGTAAACAGTCGTGGTATGCTGCAAAAAAAGAGATGTGGCGCCTTCTGATTTACCTCCGAATGGCGTTCGTATATGCACAGAATAATTTATCCTTCATCTGACGCTAGTTTAAGGAAATTGCATGTTTAAAGGCATTGGGCGATAATCGACAAGAAATCTTGAAAGTTTATTGATGGTAGGCGATTAATTTGATGTTTCTCCTGATAAGAAGAATGAATGAGTGATCGAAAGACAGGCATTAGATATTGATGGTTGTATATGATAATTGTTGATAAGAGTCAAAGTGATGGCCAATGAAAAACATTTGTAGATGGATAATAATGGTGAACTGTTAATTTTGTTGTTCTTTGATAGGAGGGGAGATTGTGCAACTAAGAATCGGTGCTCAACATGAATCAAATGATGTGAAAGGGGAATGTTGAAAGTTGAATAATGTTCGGTGGTTCGTTTAGGAGCATCAAACACTAATTATTGGTGTATGATGGATGGGTATATGATAATATGTAATCAGCTTAGTTGTTATCTTAATAGAAGCTGAGATAAAGGAAAAATTATTCTGTGCGGATATTGGATGGTGTCAGGAGATCAATTAGAATGTGTCATGTTATTTTTTTGCTTGGTACATGTGCTCAGTGGCGGAGGCAGAAAAATTTGGTAGAGGGGGCCTTCTTAAAATATTTCTCCATATTCTTTGTGCGCAAAGTCAAACTACCTAAAACATGTAGAACTTATTTGAATGTTGATAAAATTGTAGATACACAAGATTGTGGTAATAGAGTATTAGCTCTCATAGTTTCACTGCTGGCTGGACGCACTGGTGGAACTGTGGAAGCCGAAGGTAGAAGCTATGATACCGTCAATACGAGAGCTTCTGCGTCGTGCGAGAGTTTCTGGGCGACTATTAGGGCGAGGAATGTTGAACTGGGCAAAATACTGAACCGCAAGGGATAATATAATTTTTTTTTTTTAATTTTGCGGAGGGGCACATGCCCCCGTGGGACCCCGCCTCCCTCCGCCGTTGCAGGTGCTCGGTACTATTGTGTATTGGGTGACGTAGTTATGATTTTCTTCATTCTCTCTTGATGAGAAGGCAAGCTGGGAAACTATGGATGTGGATGTTGAGCGTTTAAGAATGAAGATATTTGTTTTTGATAGCTAATGAACGTAAAATAGTTGTGATGGGGGAGTTTCAATATTGGTTGTTGGTTGATAAGTTGCTGAGATAGAGCCATTGGTGTTCTTTAAGTTGATAGCACAAATGCTTACTGTTTGTTGACTATTATAACTCATTCTATTGTAAACTTTAAAGATTTTTACAATTATATATTTACTCTACATTGTTATATCTTTAAATACTTTTTGATAATTTCTATTTTTAGATTCTAATAATTCTCAATCAAATAAAGATACTCGGGTTTTATTTGGAAGAGCTTTTAGACTTTTTTCTCAATAAAAAAATAGTTAGCGAAAAATAAGGCCTATTTGGAAGATAATTTTTATCGCTTTTCTAAACTTTTGTTTTTGAAACTGAAATTTAAAAAGAGGTTTTTAAAAGCGGAAGTGGAAAATCTTAGGCTTTGTTTGGGATGACTTTTTTACTTCTTAAAATAGTTTTTAGTAAATTTTTATACTAAAAAAGGTTCTTTAAGAAGTGGTAAGAAAGTCATCTCAAATGAAGCCTTAGAATATGTTATAGAAAAATTAAGGTTTCATTTTAGACAATTTTCTTTTTGCTTTGTTTTTTAGATCGTGATCATAAATTTTTTATTTAGCTTTTTTTTTGCTTTCAAAAAAACTTTTTGATAGAAAGTTGTTTTTTTATAATAAATTTAAAAGTTAATCTCTTTATATTAGCTTTATAAAGCAATAAGAAATCCTTTCCAAAGGAAGCTTAATTATTTTATAAAACAAAAATTATTTTGGTGATATGAAAAAGAAAATATAAGAAAATTATCACAAATAAACTTTTAAATTACACAAAATAAAACCTCAACATTATTTTTTTTTTTTTAATTCTCAAACAATTTCTGCCTGAGAAGGTTTATAAAATAAGATTTTAGTTTTATTTCACCAAAAAAGTTGGAGCCATCAATAAGAAGAATATATATTCATTTCTTCAATAAAACCTGCTATTTATTACGCTCCAAAAATCAAAATAATGGCTTTGAGGGCGAACTATCACTGCTCTAATCGGTTAGCTAACTCGCTACGGTTCTCCAGCAGAGATAACGCGCTTGCCCTCCTCTCCTTCTAATTGTAAATTATTGGGTCAGGTAATCATACACAGTTTATATTCGGTATTCACAGTATTAAGCTCGATACTGTAAACTATTGAGTACCGAGCTGCTCAATACCGAGTAGGAGGTGATATGGTGCATTTTTTATTGAACTCCGAATACGTCCAGTGACCTGACGATCCTGACCCAATAATTTCCCCCTTCTAACGGAACAATTATTACGTCCGGTGCCAGACGTAGCTCTACGTCGGTCACCACTGAGTTACTCGGTATTGTTAGGTATTGCTTGACAATAACAAGAAATACCGCTCTGTGAAGACCAATACCGAGTAATACTGAGCAATACCGAGTAATACCGAATTTTTCTAAAAAAACTCGGTATTGCTCTGTATTGCTCGGTATTTGTCTTCACATAATGGTATTTCTTGTTATTGCCGAGCAAAATCAACAAATACGTGATTTTGTGCATGCTACGTGGCACAATCTTAGTGCCAGCCGAACATAGCTCTAGGTCCGTTTACCGGACCAAATAAAAGTTCCTTCTAACGACCGTCAATCACTTTGGGCCTCGGCCTGATCACGCACCCGGCGGGGCCGACCCATCCAACGGCTCATATCTTCCTGCGTTCATGTGTCACGATTTGCTCTTCCAGCGCCGCGATTCGAGCCGTCACTAATCTGCTCTCATCTCTCACCACAAAAAAACCCAGTGTTGAACGAAAAGAAAATTTGAGAGAGAGAGAGCTCCTCAGGAAGAGGAGCGAGGGAGAGGTCTTCGGGCATGGGAGGAGGGGGGTGGGCGGCGGAGGCGATGTTCCCGGACGAGGTATGGGAGTACGTGTTCTCTTTTGTGGAGGCGGACGCGGACAGGAACGCGATCTCGGTGGTGTGCCGGGGGTGGTACCGGATCGAGGGGCGTTGCAGGCGTCGGATCTTTGTTGGGAACTGCTACGCTGTTTCTCCGGCGACGGCGTTACGACGTTTTCCTGAAATCAAGGCGGTGACCATCAAAGGGAAGCCTCATTTTGCGGATTTCAATCTTGTGCCGAGCGACTGGGGCGGCGGAGCTGCTGCGTGGGTGGAGGCCTTGGCGGAGGCGTGTCCGCAGATGGAGGAGCTTCGGTTCAAGAGAATGGTGGTCACGGATGACTGCCTTGAGCTTATCGGGAGGTCATTCAGGAACTTTAAGGTGCTCTCGCTTGCGTCGTGCGAGGGATTCAGCACTGCTGGGTTGGCATTCGTCGCTTCCAATTGCCGGTAAATGATTGATAAGGCTTGTCTTTGTTTTTCACTTTGTTGTTTTCTTTTATTATTATTATGTTGACTAGGGTTTCTGGTAGTATAAGATGATAAGTTTTGGAGGGATTTTCGTGGACGAGTAGCAAATCTTCTGTCGAGTGATTAATTGGTGAATATTAAGTTGTTAGCTGAGCTGGAATACGAACTTGGGAGTTTCGTGCGCTAATCTCTGTAGCATTTGGTTGGCTAGTGTTCTCTTATGTGTTAGAAAACATTTTTATTTTACTTCTGTTGCTGTCTTTAGAGGGGATGAAACTATTTAATTGCTGTGAGAGTAGTTTCTTCGTGTTTTGCGGAGATTGGAGAGTTTTCGTTCCTGGATCCTTGAGAAAGAGGAGGTTTAGGACGACTTGATTTGGATCTTGTGTTATTTCAGGAGTGATTGGGGATGAAGGGCTTTTAAAGGGGGATTTTGGTTTCTGTTGTCATCTGACTCGACTTTTTCCCTGAAATTTTTATCTCCTATTCTCTTATCTTTATTTGCCTACTTATAAATCATGTTCATATTAAGTACCACTCTTTAGAACTTGCCAATTTGTTTTTTTTTTTTTCCCAACAACCAATGCTTCCTCTTTTT